GTAATATTCTTTTGGAATGAATGTATTGAAATATTTTGATATAAGTTCATTCCACATTTTTGTTGACTGGTGATGAAAAGTCCTTTTTCCTTGACAATTATTCCAAGTTGGTATAACTAGATTGTTATTTGTTTGGCTTCATGTGTTCCTTTGGTATGGGTACTATTGTTGAGATAAATTTTGATGTCAGATATTGAGGAGCGTAACCTTTTAAACATTTGAAAATCATGATAAGTAATTGTTCATCCGAACTAGCATTAAGTCTTCTCTAGCCAAGTGTACTTAATATATAATTAACAGCGAGTCTTAATATTTACTGAAAGAAAAATTCTATTTAATCTATTCATAAGTACTTGTAACCAGTTACTGTTTTGAATACTACAGTTAGACCAAACACAGCAACAATAATCAAAAAGAGGAAATACTAGAGAATGAGCTAACATGTTTTTGTGTATGGGATGGAAATTAAAATAATTTTAATGCATCGGTTAATGCCAATATGTTTTGAAACTTACAAGTTTTCTCTCATTGTTTTGTACCTACCCATAAGTCATGTTCTGCAAAATCAATTAACAGCCAAACTTTTCTGTCACTGTATGATAAAAATACTTTCCTTAAGTTGATCACATTTCGATGCTTTAATTCACGTAGAAGCTGTAGTGATAAAAGTAAAAATAAATGGTTTGTAAATCAGCAACAAAAGTTCAAAAGGACATGAAAATTAAAATTCAGAATCCCTTCATTTACGGATAATTGACAATGGAAAACATACCAGAGGATAAAAGGATGAATGAAGATGCATAAAACTCACTAAACAAAATATTTTTTTTTGTTTGTTCACATTTACTTCAGCAATAATGATATACAGTATTGATCATCTTTGAACTGTACTAACTAGATAATTACTGGATTTGGGAACTGGAACTGATGAATTAAAAAGAACTGAATATTTTTAATGAATGCTGGAACTGAACATTTTTTAATGACCTTTGACCCATCACTGATCACAACAGTACATACCGCTACTTCTCTACATGCTGACATCGATATTCCTGAACCTTCAATTTGTTTCAAGGCATACTCCCTTCCTCCACTTCCTCCCTTCTTTAACTTTGCTTTATAGACATGTCCATATGTTCCCCTTCCAACCTTAAATCCTTCGTACTCAAACAAGTCCTCAACCTTCTCTCTCTGTTGAGTCGTCCTCTGTTTGAATTCATAGTCCATTATTGATGGTTATTTAAGTACTATATCAAGTTTGAGAGCTGCGTGCCAGCTAACAATCGGATGGAATACGAGAATTTTTATATTCATTCAATTAATTTTCTCCATTTCTGCTACTGCAAGTCTAACCAACCTGAAACCAAGATTACTGAATATAATTATGACACATAAGCCAAGTATACTTGCTTGATGATGAAAGGGTTTGCTGAGCAGTGCTGTCAGAAATTTTGGTGATAGCTGGATTGAGCCAAGCGAGTTGTTGACCATATAGGCACGTGACAAGCAAGTCAGATGATGTATACATGTTGCCCCTTGTTTTTTTAAAATATTTTTAATGAAAATTTAAAAGATTTATTTATAATTCTATTTATAAATACAGTTTATTTATACAGATTATTAATATTGTTATACTCTAAGGAAGGGCCTAGTCTTACCTAGAACTAGGCAGGTACTGTAAGCATAGAAAGAAAATAAATGCCATAAATTATAATAATAAAGTAAAAAAACTCCATAAATAGAAATAAATATTATATTATACTAAATTCAAATATTTATGACAGTGTTATTGCATCATTAAACTTAGTTCATAAATTTCGAAAAATAGATAATTATATCAGTCGTCGAAATGCAACTCCATTGAATAAAAGCCTGAGGCCTAGCACTTCTATACCGCAAACATTATGTCGGGCGTTAAGCTATCGATCGAGGTTCTATCTACCCTTCTGCTGGCTATATCGGACGGAGCCAGGCCTGGCTAGGTAGGCCTATACATCCAAGCACCGGTATCATATAACTTGTGGAAACCATTAAAATAAAAGCACAACAAATAAAGGTATTTTAACCTAGTACTGTATACCACATGACGAACCTTTATTGTTTCCATGAACATTGTATCTTTGCTTTTAAATTCTGCCAGGTGTCAGCAGCCAAAATGCAGCACGCAAGGCACATTTACTGCGGGAACATCTAGGAAATAGCGAGTGCGACAACCAGTGATCTTCATGAGATGAAGATGAAATCCAACAGAAGAAGTTCAGTGACTGGCCCTCTATCGTTCGTCCTTTCGCCCGGATCGAGAGAGAGAGAGGAAAAAGGAAGGGGTGTCATGTGAGATTTTGAGAAAGAAAACAAGTTACAGATTGCTGGTTAGGCCGCCTAGGCTGGGCTCTCTTTTGTTAAAAGTAAGAAACAGTGTTTAGGCGCTAATGCATAAGTTCACCTACACATTATTAGTAGGGCTAGTGGATGTTTTCATGATAATTATGTTAAGTAGTAATTTGATTTCAATATTTTTACAGGCTAGCCTGAAGTTGCTGTTCAGCCTTGGGCCTAGCTAGGTGCTAGCCCGCAGTGTTTTACTGACTGTACTACTACTACTTTGTACTACACTACAGTACTAGCTAACAACAGTGTAGCTAAAAATAATAATAAAGTTCTTTGGTGCATTATTTTGCAACAGGGAGGTATAAAAATATACCTCCCTGCTTGCAACCTGGACAAAGCTAGTGTTTCATACTTTAGTGTTCCTACCTAACATTTATTTCAACAGCTTAAGCAAAAACAACACAATTTTGTGACTAGAACTACAGTGTCTTTAAAATCACAATAAAATTAAACCAGTTTTTATACAATACTTACAGTATTCTTGCCAAATAAAAACAGTATCTCCCTCATCAATAAAAAAAAAAACAAAACAATATTCTACTGTTCCGATAAAAAAAAAAACCGCCCGCCCTCATCACTTAGGAAAAAAAAAAGTAATGTGTGATAATCTAATAATTTCTTCTATGTGCCCTAAAATCTGGCCTCCGTCGGGTAGAAAGCATGGTTCCTCCTTGAAGAACCCTCATGAGGAATAAATAGGAAATGCTGACGCAGAATAAATCAAGGAATATACTTGCTTGTATGTCCAGCTTGATCGTTTCTTGTCCAAACACTCCTAAAATGTACAAAATGTAAACATTTCCAAAATGGGAGGAAAAAAACCATGAATTAATTACAAGACCATTTTTAATTTGACAGGTATTACTATTAAATTAATACTTAATATAGTTTTATGAACTGTATCATCAGTCTAGTAGGTGTTGAGGAATCTGATAAACCTGTATTTGTTTACCAATATTATGGCTATGTACGGTATTGTACCAGCAAATAAATCTCTGTATGCAAATTAGATTGTGTCTGTGGAGTATTTGTATTATTTATCTATCATAGAGATGACTTGTTTCAGTCGGTGGATATATTCATTTTGATCAGTTTGATAAGGATTTATGCTATTAGTAATATAATTATTTTGTTTACACAAGTTAATTAAAGGCCACAACATTGTGTTGTTGCGCTTGACCTCGTATCTCAATTAATAGTTTCTGAAGTTTTTAATATGAATCTTGATTGGGATATACATTTTTCTCAAATAGTTTTTATCATCTTTGTATTAGTTTAATTTAGTTTCCAACAGTACAAACTGTCAGGCATTAGGCCTATATTATTATAATTTCCAGACTGTACAACAATAAGTTCATTTTTGTTTTTGTTTTCATTTTTTAGAGGGGTGGGGGGAGGGTGTGGTTTTATGTCCTTTTTGAATGTGCTCATTTGTTGTTTGTGTTGATAATGTAGTAATTGAAATGTCCAGTATTCCTTAGTGTCTAAGTAAAACATTGTAAGAGACCACTGAGTAAACTTCCTACAAATTTCAAAAATAATATGTTTATTAATATTACAAGAATTATATAATTAAATATACTGTAAAATTTTATTTTGATTTATGTTTTTTAGATGCATATGACATTTTACCTCTCCACCAATGTTGGAAAATTCTTGTTCGAAAAATGGACAGTAGAATCAGTGTCAGGTAACACAAAATATTATTGACAAAAAATGTTGTACTAGGTACCTATTAATGGACCTTTCTGAAAGCCCTGCACCTTGGATAGTAATTGTTATTGTTGTGGTGGAATAGACAATAACTGGATCTGCGTCAGGAAAATCAAGTATAGCGTGTAATTTTGCCCTACCTGACGTGGAAGTGTACTGAATGCTCAGTACGTGTGTCTATTCCATCACAACAATAACAATTACTATCAGCATTGCAGTACCCGTTGCTTTCTTGTACTCGAATTCAACCCTGGACATCAGGCGCAAGCTCGGTGGTCTAGAGGTATGATGCAAGCCTAGCGATCTGGAGATTGTGGGTTCGAGTCACCCGAGAACAACTTGTGATTTTTTTCGCAATTGTTTTCACAGTATTCAGTACATTTCAGTACTCAATACGTACTGAGTATTCAGTACATTTCCACGTCAGGTAGGACAAAATTGTAATTGGATATTGTTGTAAATTTATTCAAATTCAATATTCTTTTATTAATTCTTTACAATACATTATCAGCCAAAGCTGAATTTACAGCATTGGACAGTATAAGGTTTCCTACCAAATATACTTATAAAATTTAAAATTACCTTACAAAAAATAAGACCATTATTACTACAACCATTATTAAAAAGATTACAATTAATTAATATCTCCTTTATTACCAAATTACTGTGTGGAAACAGTGTAAACAAAGTAAACGTGTATGTTTGTGGCACAAACCTGTATTCCTGACTATATTATTAAAAAGGGTGTTCTGATTGGAATCCACTTTTGAGCTTCTCATAAATTAGTTGATTTACAGTGATTTTAATGAAAAATTATGCAAAGAATATTTCCCTTTTTTTTGTAGAATTATTTGGAGCTATAGCATTTGTATGCGTCCTTGCTTTCATTCTTGGAATCTTATCCGTTGCAGTAAGCTTTGTTCAGAGTAGATACAAAGCTAATCCACTGCACACCACAAGGCAGTCAAGCCATGGTACAGACTCACCAACAGCACTGATTGCTCCTCTCCGGATTCCAACCAGTATTAACAAAATAAAACAGAAAAGGTTTGTCTCCTATCGGTTTTCTTGAAATATTGTTAACAAGTGTAATTCGTTCTTCTAAACCAGAGTTGGGCATAAAATGGGTTGGAGAGCAAGTGAATATATTGAATTAACACTGAGGGCTGCACCCGAACTTTGACATTTCCAGAAACTAGGTGGTTACGCCCCTTTTCCCTTTAGGAAAACTGGCATATTCAAAAATCTATTGTATCTTATTAATCATTCCTGATTTTCACATCACATTTAAAACTAAAAGTAAGTTTCATTTAATAAAAACCACTTATAGGGGCATTTTTCCATCAATATTTTATTGTGCTCTTTGTATTTGTTTTCATTTAGGTTGCGTCTTCATGTAGCCCGATCTGTTCTGCATCTTTTAAAAGTCGTCGTCGGTTATTTCCTAATGTTAACAATCATGACATACAATGGATACATTGCTATAGCAATTTTTGTTTCATCTGCGTTAACATATTTTGCTCTTTCGCCGCTCCGTGACAAATATAGCCGTGGACCATTGAATAGCCAGGAAAGCATCAACCACACAGGAAGCATTAGTGGCAGTTCGCATAGTTTCTCGCAAAGTACTCCCGGTTCATATCCAACTTCCATTTGAAGTTGCACATAGTAATATTATAGGAATGCTATAAAATGGTTATTGCTATTCAACTTCATCATATTATAATAAACATGTTATAAGAATGCTATGGCATGGATATTATTACTGGCAAATGCAACCTCATACTAATAACCATGTCAAAGGAAATGCTAGTATAAATATATTAAATTCAATATCAACATGGAAACGACTGAATGTTAAATTGGTGACATCTACTGTAGTAGTGAATTTAATGATTGAAGATTTTGGAGTACTAGTTTTATTTTATTTTTATAAATTATTGCTAAGTTATAAACTTAGATATTATGATGTTATAAACATCTTTTTTGAGGGGGTTTTACTGTATAAAATATTTTTACACAAGAATAAATTAGCAGGGGTTGTTTATATTTATCATACTGTAGTTCAGTATATTAATTGTCAAAAGTTATGTTCTGTTGTAGGTATGTTGAAGTGGGCACATACTGTACATAGCTAGTCATTTTATGTTCTATTGTTGGTTATTCAAAGGTAGCTAGCATTAAACATTATTATATTTGTCTAGTTATTCATTACAAAACTTGCTGGGAAAACCAGCAGTGTAAATATAAATGAAATATGGTAATCTTCCATGGATATCTAGATGTATCCTTCACTTGTTTTCTCATTTGCTTATTTATTGTTTTTTTTTTTTTTTTCGTCCTGACCCCTCTTCAATTCGATTGGTTGATATAACAGATTCTCTCAACATTTTACACCCGATACCGCAAATACTGTAGTTTTATGTGTGTAGGTTTGTATAAACATGTGTATACGTGTTTTGGTTATGAGACAGTAGCTCATGTAGATACATAATAGCCAATGCAGTTAATAGAATTGGATTGGCCATCTCTCACTGATCTGGACAAAGATAAACAACATCATACTGCTGTTTTATTTCCATGGTATTAAAATAATTTCACTTCATTGTCATTAAAATGATTTTAATGTTTTTAAATTGTACATTGCAGTAACATTCAATAACAATGCTGCCCATTGATTAAAGTTTGATGATATATATATTTTGAAAATTTAATTATTTATATTATATTTTTATTTTATTCAATTTCCAGGCGACAATACAACAGAATACAATACCCTGAGGGTTACCATGAGTGCAAGCCGCTATCAGAGCGGCTCTCCATATTGCATCATTACGTATACTAAAACTAAACATTAAAACTACCTCTAGGTTTGATATAAAAAGGAAATGCTAAAATTTTATAAATTTTATTAATGGGTTGTAACTATAGATACAAATATTAAGTAAATATGCAGTAATAAATAATATACTTTACAATAATCTGGACCAAATCTCTAGTGATAATTACGTACTATGTACTTGAGTACCAGTACGTATTAAACATGGAATACAGTGCATTAGAAATGTATAGGTTATTATAAACAAATGTATTTGTACATCTCGTTGTTATGATATGTATAAAAGTAATCAATAGGGTTGTAATGTGAGGATCCTTATTAATCATCTAGCAGGGTGAGTGGGTTTTTGTTGTGATGATAAATAATGTTAATTTAGTTGTTGGTGCTTAATTTTAATCAATACCAAGGTGTATATAATACACGTTTTAATTAGGTAGGAAAACGTACAGGTGAGGTAGTTGTGGTTGATGATAAAAATTCTTTTAATCCAAAAATGTGACAAAAGTATATTAATATTGAATTTATGTAGAGCATTTAGTTGCACTCAGCTTTCAAATTATAGAATGGACTTTTAAACTCAAATCAAGGCTTGCTCAAAATGGATATGGAACTTTCTTTGGCTTGTATTTACAGATAGTGAATGCGATGCTAAAGTGCTAATCTTTTTATGCGATTTTATTGAATAAAATGCATTTTAATAAGATGTTTTAATTATATTGAGTGTTGTTATTGCTTCAGTTTAACGTAACTTTAAAAATAATTAGAACAATCTACAGCCAAATGTAATGTTTCTATGTTGTTTTGTGCCTGTGTTCACTTGCTTTTTCAAAATACATTAACGGATCCTGGAATTCGAAATAGAGGGGCCCAGGGAGGAAGTTTTACATATGGAATGTAAACCACCACAGCCCCACCATTTTTGGGGCTGAGGTAAGAAAATTTATGATTATGACACCTGTAGTTGGTGGAAATGGCATTCTCAGACTTCAATTTGAATATAATTTTCTTTTTTCTCCACTTTTAAATTTTGAAAAAAATTGGGAGGGTGGGCTGGAATCTGCCACTGAAATACTCATAAGTTTTTCAATTTAACCTTGTAATCATAATCATGCCCACTTACATATTTAGTGCAAACTTATAAAAATAATGATTTATTATCTACTGATTAGTTTGTGACGTATTCGAACCATAAAAAATAAATACGATAAACTTAAAACAGTTACTATAATTTAGTCACTTTGCATGTATAAAAGTGAAAGTCAATCAGGGCGTTTCATTTTTCAACTCTTTGAATTTCACTTTTGTACAAGTAGTATTGCGACTACACTATTGTGAGTAGAAATACTAGCGTCTAGGGAGATAGGAAGCACACAAAACATTTAGCATTTTTATTTCACAAACGTAAAGGTGATATACTTAATTTATCATTATCGCAAGATTGTGTCAACGTAACGTGGGAGTTCGTAAACGTGTGGTATCACTACTTTATAAATAAAGTCCAAATAGACTTATCCGCGTCAAAGGCTGTATAATAATGTTATACAATGTTTTATATATTATATATACACACACACAGTGGCTGTGCCTACGCCCAAGCATAAACATAATTTACAGGCTATGCTTACGCCGACGTGTTGAGATAAGCTATGCATAGGATACAATTATAACATCTTATGTTCCTATATTAGGATCCTGTTGTTGTTATTCATCTATTCATTTACATTACCAATTTGCTTAGGAGACAGACACAAAAAGAATTTCACAATGTACAGAATATAATCATTCCATCTTTATTTTTCAAGGATTTTTTTTTTGTTTTCTTCACTTAAGTACAGATACTGTATTGCACATGGCTACAAAATAATACACCAGAAAAAAGAGACAAGTGTTTTTATACAGTACAATGCAAAGAAGAAGTCAGTAACTGCGATATGAACAGCGCAGCACCCCAGATATAACTACCACAATAACTTAAATTGTAGAGTATGATATATATATATAAACACAACATTTCTATCCCCCTTCAAACCAAACTAGAATATTCTTACATTATTGTACAATGCAAAGAAGAAGTCAGTAACTGCGATATGAACAGTGCAGCACCCCAGATATAACTACCACAATAACTTAAATTATAGAGCATGATATACATATAAACACAACATTTCTATCCCCCTTCAAACCAAACTAGAATATTCTTACATTATTGTCAATGAATACGAATACCATGAATATATCACAAAAAATATCATACATGCTCACAGGTCGAGGAAAACCAAAATAGAATATCTTTCCCTATTTAATATGAATATACAGTATAACAATAAATCATTGTTTATTGATCAATGTTTTGTACATTACTGTTACAACATGTGAATTACTTGTACCAGACATTTAAATTTTTATAGTTTATATGTTGGTCTTAAATAGTCTACAATACCAACGAAAATGCCATAATATGCTTTACAGGCACATATGCAGTGGGATGCAATCAAATAAAAAAAAAAAGGTTATATAAAATTTGTTATTTTTTGTATAGATAGTCATATTATTATATACTTTTCGTGGATTATGAGGGTGAAACTGACTGAAGTGTTTGGAACCCCAATCCCTGACCCCATTGGGAAATCTAGGTAACCTCCATACCCATTTAGTCAATTTTTGCACATCCCACCAACTCCCCCCACACCAATACAGTAGTTATTCGGGATACGGCACTGCTTTATTAAATTATTACCCCCGGTCACTGGATCAAATACCTACAGAACACATACTTAGCTCCATGGAGAGAATTCTATTATGCTGTAAATAGTTATCAGTCCATTGCCACGGAAAATCCTGTCCAGACTATCAAATTCTATTTGATCATGATGACATCACATCATGACCATATATAGGCACATCATGACTAAATATGGACGTATAGCAGTCTGAACAGAGCTTAAGTCTACCAGGTATCAAATTAGAATTCGGAAACTTGACCAAGGTGCCCTGTCTAATAAGGACACACACAAGTGACTGGCCTAAGCAGTGGCGTATCTAGGGGGTGCACACACCCCTCCAATAAATTCTCGCCCCCACCCCCCAAATAAAAATCACGCTCAAGTAATTAAAAATCACCTAAAATTACCTTATTATACAAGACAGAGTCCCTCACCTAATCATCGAGGCCTCCCCCGTGACCTTTGCGCTCCCCCACTTTAACACTCCTAGATATGCCACTGGGCCTAAGACGAGCATTTAATATAATTTTATCACTAACTATAATATTGACAATGATGATGATGATGATGATAATACTATATAAATTATGTGACCATAAACATTAAGATACAATCATAGTGATAGATATATAGCAAAATGATCATTATTATAATAATTAACAATTTCTACATTATTCATACTATAAAGGTTCTGTGGAATACGTTTAAGTACCAATGAAATCTTTTAAATAAGGAATGATTGTTGTATTGGTAAAAAATATAAGATTGTTGAATACTTTATACAGTAACTATCTTAAATATTAAAAAAAAAAATAAATATAAGTAGCACTAATGTATGTTAAATAGTACAATCGTTTAATAGTGACCATTACACTTGGAATTGTTTAGGCAATGGAAAACAATAATAAACCACACTCTAGTGACATTAGCATGAACATTATTAATACATGACAGATTTTTATTATGGGAAAAGGTAAACCAACAGCACCAGTGGTGCAAAATAATATTTTACAAATGGAAGATATAGTTGCGAGATAGCAGAAAATGCCTGCTAACTTTAATAATAAGATTTAAGATATTAATATAAACATTATAGATGTGTGAGTTACCCCAATAGTACAGTTTATACTCATTGCCAAGTTTAAAGTCACACAAATTAAGATTTGGAAGTAAATAAAACAATCACTACATTTCATTAATAAGTTAGCATAATAAATACATTTTAACAATAACAATACATTTACATATTCATTTGTTTGAAACAAGAAAAAGTACACCATTATATATGGGAATGTTAAAGAATAGCTTAATTAATACAACTTAATGAAAGATTTAGAAATGAAGAAAAAGAAAGACCATGATTGACATAAATATATTGAATTAATTATATATATTATATTTTATATAATATTCAAAGTTTATTGCAAAATAGCTGAAAGCACTAATAAATAACAATTTCTTTTAATTTTTGCTTTTATTTTAAGCATGAGAAAAAAAGTATTTTAATTTCTTTAAAAATTGAGAATATAATGCTGATTAAATGTACTGTATACATAAATTTATAAACTGACTGAAATAATTTCACTCTGATACAGTACATATTTGAACAACAATACATTAATAAGTACAATATAAAATTACAACTAAATTATATTACATAACCTGGGTATTGAGGTGGTATCAAAATAAATGGAAGTCACAAAATATAAAAACCAATTTTAAATTAATGGGGACAAACTAAATAAACTGCTCCATAGAGAAACTTGATATAACTAGGCCTACTTGTTGAATAAACTTTCTGCGGAACTAAAGTATTCCTTGGTTTGGAATTGGAACCCTGCAAACGATGATTTTACACAGGAAAAGCTTCTTAATTATCAATCTGTGGCAGCAAAGTTTGTGGAAAAGTGAATAGGCCTATATTCTTCGAACTTGGGTATTTACTCATGGTGCCACACACAAATGTTTTCCAGTCAAGTCAATGTGAGAAGGTATACAGTAGGATGGCAGAGCATCATTATGATGCAGTCTGCGCAAATGGGTTTCCAGTACAATCTGTCCTCAGACTCGGTAAATAGCCATTGCACCCTCGTTCAAGTCTTCTGCGGCCCAACTCTACCACGACTAGCACCAACACACCAATATAACCATTATCGCTTTAAAACACTGTTGCACTGGTGTTCCATCATTGCTTCGTTCGAAGATTCAATAGTTTAAAGTACCTCAGATCATGGAATGTGAGTTGTTGCACTTTGTCATAGAGTACATTTCTATCTTATATCTTGCACATAAAAATAAATTATACTTGAAAATCCATACTCATTTCTGTTTACTCATTTCTGTAGACTTCAAAGTACAGTCTCCTTTCAGTTAGACTTCAAAATACAGACTCCTTTCTGTTAGACTTCACAATACAGACTCATCTTTAAGCTCAGTAGCTGACTGGCTCACTACTATATATATCAAGATTTTAAGTATGTTTATCTTTTTATCTGTTATATGGACATCTGGAATATAGGCAATGTTTTGTGAATCTTAGAAGGCATCGCGAATGTTTGTAAAATGTCTGACTGCTAGATCTGCTGGAAGATTAAAATTTATCTCGCTCAATTTGTCCAAAAGCTGAAGAGCGCCATCAAAATCTGAAAAAAAGAACATAATTTTTGATTTAGCAAATGTTTATATTAACTATGAATATATATGTACCAAAGAATTCTTAAGGAAATACTCCCACACCAATGACAGTATAACAACAAAAAAACTGTTTGAATCAGTCACTGACGATACACCTTTAAAGCATGGCGCCTTCTTTTTAGAAGGGAGATAATTATCATTGAACAATAAAATAGGCTGTAAAAGAATTCAAATAATTTCTTACTTGTCTTCACAATATAACTCCAGGAGTAATAGTAATGATCAATAATGGACAAAGTCCGACATATCAATCGACACCAGCTTGTGAGTTTTTGTTCACTGTGAAAGAGACATCATTGTGTAAATTAGACTTTGCAAGGAAATGCATTGGCCCTACCATGGAGGAAATATATTAAGGAGTACCATCAACCTTATCGCTTATCTTTAATCCAATTAAACAGTCAGCCAGTGGCTATTAAATTGCACTACGACCGCCCGCGTAGCTTATCGCAACACTAATCTCTTTAAACGCACAGCTCCTCGCCACCCAAGTGTGAACACCTATAGACGCTCTAGCGTTAGTGGAGTACGTAAAATACAAGCGCAGCTCATTACTCATGCGCAGCTCATTTTCCATGGTTCGTTGTATGCGTGTTTGGTGTATTTGGATAGAGCTTTTTTCGGGAAGAAAATCCACACTTTGAACGTAAAAATCAGTTTAAAATAACCGTTTCTTTTATCAATTGTAAGTTTTGGCTTATTTTCATTGTAAGAAGGAAAGTGATGTAAATAAATTAAGTTTGTAAAGAGTCCCGGTTGTCACCAGTTAATGAAATTTAGTTTTATGGAAAGTAGAAAGCTGCATCTTTCATTTGGTACACGAGTTAACTGTGTCCGATCATGTCCGCTCAAGATACCCCAGCCCCAGCCTAGTTTTGCCGACAGAGTCAGGCAAACATTTATTTATTTATTTACTGATTTTGCTATCATTTTTCATATTTGAAATAATTCTTTTTACTTCACTTTATAGGATGAAAAACAACCACACCATTTGAGGTGACCTGATGATGATGAATGAAGATGATGGCAATCAACAAATTGCATCTTCAAATAAAGAACAGATCATGTGTGACATGCCAATTTCTTTCAAACCAATTGGCTAAAAAGACCTAGAACAAATTAAAATTGTACCTGAGCCTCCTTCAAGGCTCTCATGCATAAATACCTTGCAAGTTTCTGTCAGAAACTGTCAAACCACCCTGATAGTTTATCCCCTTCCCTCATTGGACAAACCCTTATACCACCACTGGCTATAATCAATATTTCATAGTAAGGATCTTTATGGAATACTTAATAAGGTGTATAGATATTCATCAAAAGATAATGAATATAACAAGACATGTACAAATAATAATTATCAATCATAATTAGAAAATTCACACAAGAACTTACTTCAGTGCTTTGCAGACAAAGGCCTTGAACTGCGAGTCGACACTCCTTTTCAGAGGGTCGTGGGTGGTATGGATCAAGTCGATGGCAGCTAAGAGGGTTTGCTTTGACGTTATGGCTGTGCCGCCGACAATGTCCAGATCAAACGCTTGTGACAGCTTCCTGGCTGGAGAACTTGTGTACAGTTTTCCATTCTAGGAAACAATGGCATATTAGTACTGTTTAATTTTGCTGTACATAATGTAAAGAACAGTTTTATGTATATCAGTATGTGTACATATGAAGCTTGCCATTTCAAAATCAGGATTAGTGACCAAAAAAGAAAAATATATTCTTATTCTCCACATTATAAGTTAATGATGGGTCATTTACTGGAATCGACTTAAAGATAGGAGTAAAATTATTACGGCTTCTCTGTATCAAAGTTTAAATTACTGCCACATTCTTGAGCTAATTATTTTGGATTGGATTGGATTTATTTGGTGTAAACATCAATGACAACCCACGAAAGTCTGAAGAAGACTTATTTCCAGTGGGGTTCTTCTGGTGGTGATTGAGCAGTAAACCGGGAGACAATCCCCTACTCTTTTCCGAATAGTGTAGCGTTCTTTAATGTGCACACGACCATAATGCACACAGGACCAACGGCTTAAACGTCCCATCCGAAAGATGGTGCACTATCGTAACTTGCATTTTAGCCCTCCAGCCCTCCGGAATAGAACCGGGAACCGAGAGATCTCCACGGTTCAGCGCACACACAGTGGCTCCCACCATTTTAGCCGACTGAGCTAAGCTGCTCTCTCTGTTTAACAATTAGTGACAGTATGCTAGATTTGGGATGCCAAGCCTCTTATATAAACTGATTATTATAAGAATATTCACCAATAATCAGATCCTTGTATTACTTACTTTAATATCATAATACTTCAAGAAGACATCCCATATGTGTATCCTTTTAGGAGTTGGTGTTGTCCTGGGCATCAGGCAGGTTGTGAGAGGGGTCATAAGGGCTTGACTTGTGGTGTGCTTCATCAGGCCATGCTCAAAAAGATCCCGCAGCACAGGGGCTAGCTCTTTACGCACTGCAATCGTGATCTCATCCAGACTCCTGCTTGTAATTGGACTCTGAAACAGACACAAGAGCTTTCATGTCAGCTCCTACCTATGTACCATTATACAGTATATAACTTTCGAGTACTAGTCCACACATCAAGAGCCGTGAGCATCTTGTTTGATGGATACCGGCGCTATACAAATTTACACTATTATTATTATTATATTTATTATCATTTATACAGCATTCTAACTTTAATGTTGCTGTATATTTTGAATACTTACATCTGATGCATCACTACTGTAATCTATGTGTTCTAGTGGTTCTTCTTTATGTCTTTCTACCAGCTCTATCACATGATTCACAGCTCTGTCCAACTTCTTCAACATATCACTAAAAATAAGAATGTAAAAAAATACATTTTAAAATCAAGAGATTCTCAAGATGTCAAAAAAAAAATGGATCCCCTTTATCAATAGAAAAAAAATAACAAATTATGTTCAGTATAAAGTTTTCTTTACTGGAAGTATTAATAATAATAATAAATAATAAATGCATTCTTATATAGCGCATATCACTATCTATGCACTCCACATTATTAACCCTGGTCATCGGAATTAATGCCTGTAGAACATACTCCACAACTGCCGCTGCTGAGCCAGCGCATAACTGACAAAATGCCGAACCAAGTACGCACCCGGGTGGAGAGAGACAATGTGGATAAAGTGTCTTGCCTATAGGACACAAGCCAATGGACAGCGTAGCGTTTAAACTCAATGTTGAGAGAGCAAATCACTATCGCATGCGCTAATAAAATAAACTCAAAAGATGGCAGATGTATTATTATAAATCTCTGTCCACACTATCAAATTTTCTTTGACAAAAAATTGTTATATGCCCATATATAGTCATGATGTGCCTATATATGGTCAGAATGTGATGTCATCATGACCATATTTAGGCATGTCACATGTTTTTATCAAATAAAATTTGATAGTCTGGACAGAACTTAACACAATAATAAAAAATATTACTGTAAACCAAGGCATACAATCAAAGGCATACAATCTTGTGTCATACATATTACAATCAAAGGCATACAATCTTGTGTCATACATATTATGACAATCATCAAAATCTTCTTCAGTTTTAGATAAATATCTTTTTTCTTTTTTTTTTTTTTAATTATTTATTTAGGCACACAATACATGTGCAAAGGATTGTCAATAGCGAATATATCACTGTCCTACTTGTAGGTGGCAATCCCTTACACAAGACAAACATACATGCAAAATGCTTTACACAAACTAAATCTCAATATGAGATTTAGGGAGTGGAGTTGTTTTGGCCGTGAGAAAAAATCCTGCAACATTGACAAGAATTGAACCCAGGACCCTAGGATTGGAAGGCAAGCATCTTAACCACCAAGCTATTCAACACCAATTTCTAGATACAGTACTTTCTTTGAAAAACAGATAACACAAATAAAAATAATTTAACAAACAATATGGATAATTAACAAAAAATTACACTATTATTCAAAAACTATTTACCTGCACACAGGTTTCATTGTAATACTTATGTCAGAGAATATTCCATGCCATAGTAAATTTTAATGTGAAAGCTAAATCCATGTTTACTTTGAACTTGCTTTGATTAATTCCAACGACGACCAGGTGTAAGAGCAACAAATGAACACGACTCAATATCACTGTTTGTTTTGCTTGAATATCATCAACAAATCTTGTGTTATTGCTTGCTGTACGCTAACTACTGTGTTACTATTGTTGTATCATTAACAAGAAAGTCACAACTCTTAGAATGTCCTTCATCGCGGTAAACTCACAAGCGTATCTGATCAATTTACAAGCTTTTGCGATGTAATCGAACAATATGGTTTATCTTTCCAAAAATACATAATGCAATTTAAGGTTGGATAGATATCCCATGACCTTTTCCAATAGATTCTCCAGCTGTTACATACTAATTAGCATAATGCTGCCAGATGGATTGAAGGATGGATGTCATATGCAACCTCTCATTATCCATTAGAATAACAATGACTCATTACCATGTAAAATCAACATCCCAACATAGATATAAAAATTAACAATTTATGGGTGACTTCCAACTTTTAATTTATGAGAGGATGAACTACAGAAATTACAATTATTATTTCTTATTATCACTAATATTTTTATACAACTAGTTCTTTTCCTGCTATTATTAATAATTGAAAGAAAATAAATTTATTCTTACTTTAATTAAACTGTTTCCCCCCCCCCTTTTTTTTTTTAAAGATTTGGCATGAATGGCCAACATTATAGGGATCAACAATGTTGTGAGATAGCTCTCCCCCACTTAATCATAGAGCCCCCAATTTACATTCTTCCTCCGCCACCCAATCCGCCCCACCATTTACAAGACTTCCAGATATGCCACTGCAACTAATCATATATATAATTCATTCATTTATAATTTTAAAAGTTCATTTTTGTTTTCCTATTCCTACACATCAATATAATAACTTACTAATAATCAATATTTCTTTCTTTCTTTGGAAGTCTCTCTTTCATTTTTGAGGTGCCACAGCCAAGCTGATGGATTGCAAGGTATTGCAAAACACGTAACATCTTCTTGGCAGCTGATAAATTGGAATCGGTTACCCTCTGAAAATGATCAACATTATAATGAAGAATAAACAGTTATACAACATTAATAGCAGCAAAAATGAGAAGTATGCCTCGTGCTAAGCACCGCGCTTATGATATTGTTGCCATGGGCCCACTAAAAGGGACAGCGATCTATAGAGAAACATGACTTAGTGTGCTCTGTCAATGTATTGTGCAAAGAGATATTGCAACACAACTGGAATACTCTCCAGAAAATGTAAAATAAAATACAGACCCAATGATCAGGAGTAATATTATCAACAGTACATTTTATCCCTTGACAAAAAGCACAGCATAAAGTAGTACATTATAGTTAGTTTTTGAAATCTCATGTTAGTCAAAACCTGTTACTTGTTTTAGATAAAAGATTTAAATAGTACATAAAAATAGATAAATGTTAAATATGTTCCCACCTGATGCTCTTTCTCTGTCATTGGAGTAGACTTTTCAGGTGATGGTGGATGAGTACAACAAGGTGTTTCAGAGTTGGTTTCTGATGTGCTTTGTTCATCAAGTGGCAGCAAATGCTAAAAAATTAATACAAGTAGGATTGAGCATTGAATTTTCTTAAAGCTAGGGTTATTTCATGAGCATGACTTTCTCATGATGAATCGAGTGGCCGAGTGGTAAGACAGGGGCGCTGTGCCAGCAGTCTTAACATCGGCGCTGGTTCCACATCTGACTCGTGTGCACTTTAAAGAACCCATTGCATCTTTCGGAAGAGTAGGCGTTTACCCCGACGTTATGGTTCATTTCAGCTCCTGTCGTTGTGGAATGATGTGAACATGTATCTACCATGAAGCGCCTCTTTACGGCTGTTAGGTAGTCACAGACCACGCCCATATGCAATTCAGCACAATGACGCTGCAAGATATGGGTTATTCTCCTACCTTTACCTATATAGATAATTCTCTATATCACTGCTTGTACAGTAAATTCTTGTTTGTACTTTATTTTCCATTGACTTATCTTATGTTACGTGTTTCCGATTGATCTTTATTTTTTTTTTGCATGTATTGATTTATTTGTTGTTAGTAATATTACATGATTTCATGTTATTCTGATCTCACAAGTTGATTGGCCAAGCGGTTAAGGCAGGGGGGGCCACAAACAGCCATAATATCGGCGCAAATTTGAGTGGGAGGCTCCTTTATGGTTCTGGTGGTAGAACAAGTCTTCTCAGATAAGGACAAACCGTAGGCCCAGTGTACACAATGGATCGTGTATCCTATAAAGAACCAAGTACATCATTCAAGACGAGTAGGGGATACCCCAGTTTACTGGTATATACAGCCCCAGTGATGGACAGCAAGAGTTGCCGGTACTGGTTTACTGGGTGGCACAGACACTAAAGGCCAACTCAGACAGCGTCGGCCGACGCAGCCCGACCCGATTAATCGTCGGGGACAGTCTTAAGCCGTCGTGAGAAATATAAAACACGTTTAATATTCTACTACGCGACTGCCCCCGACGCACACAATCGCGCCTGCGTTCAACTCACACAGACCCGACGCGACAACAAATCGCGTCGAGCTGAGTCGACCGACGCTGTCTGAGTTGGCCATAAAGGACATGACGGGTGATGGAAGTCACTGAAAAAGCTACTAGTCCCCACATCAAATGCCTTGAGTATCTTGTTTACTACTATAATTATCATTTTGCAATACAGGCAAATACCATTTTCTTCTATTAAGTCATGCTTGAAGCATTGTTTATTCAATGAGTACTATATTTCAATATAAGTATCTATTGTATAAATCTTTATCACACCTTCTTTGTTGCATTAGTACAGCTGGTGTGATGCAAAACATAATAATATAATTCAGCAATAAATTAATAATTATTAATTATTCAACCATATTTCCTGAGGGTAACCACTTGCAGCATTGCTGGTATGACTTGTTCAACACCACATAAAAAGAGCTCATCCCAGACTCTGCATTATGCTGGTACAGTTACTATAGAATGAAAAATGCTAAATTCTAAAAAACTATTTCATTCTGATTATCAAAGAGGTTATGTGTTCCCAGCTATTTGTCTGTTTGTATGCATGTTTGTTAGCAGGGAAACCAATTTGAATGGATAATCATCAAATTTAGAGGAATGGTACATATGGGTCTATGGAAGAGGTTATTGCATTTTGAGGTGAAGTCAAAGGTCAAAGAAACTTTAAAAATCACATTAATAAAGATTATGCAATAACTAATACATAAATCATCATAAAATTTAGTGGAACAGTAGATAGTGGTTTATGAAACTTAAACAGGTGATAATTTTATATTTTTCATATTAGCTTACATTTCCTTTCTGTTGAAGTTTGCAGGAGCATGCCTGGTCTCCCATTGGTCCAGGTGTTGTCACCTCCCCTTGTAAGAATGATATGAACCTCTCCAGGTCACCGATCTGTTGTTTCAATTGGCCAATCACTTGCTCCTTCACTTTGGCAGGGTTCACAATCTAATAAACAAAAACAATCAACAGACACCATAAACACTCTCAGCCCTGCCCACACCATCAAATTGTATTTGACATTGACATGCCTAAATTTGGTCATGATGACATCACATCATCACCATATATAGGCACATCATGACCATATATAGGCACATCACAACTATATATGGACATACAAGGTTTTTTTTGTCAAATAACATTTAATAGTGTGGAGAGGAATTAAAATGCGTTTTCATTTTTATTTAAGCAGTTTTTTATCTTATACTTAAGATTTTGTATGGTAGTAAAGTGTAGGACCTACCCGACCCACAGCCTGGTCAACCATTCTACGAAGATCATCGACACTGAGAGAATCCAGATCTTCAATGGGCAGTTCCAGTTTGTCACGCAGCTGGTCGATGATGACACCTTGTTTGTCCATTAATTTTCGCTGGGGAATTTCACCTGAACCCTCCTGCAAAATAAATTATTCATCATCAATGCTCTGCTATAAGGAGCCTGTTATTGTGATGCTGTAGATGTGTCAAATTTACCATAAATACTGTAGAATGTCTTTATGAAATATTAAGATTAAAGGCATTGATATAAATATTCACAAGATTAATATAATGAGCTTTTATTATAATATTATTGAGATTATTATTATAGGAATATGAATAATCATAAACAACAGTTGCATATAACATATACAGGTTTAATAATGAGAAATAATAGTTTAAGGCTATGTTCTCACACGGCAGCTAACGGTTAGCAGGATCTGGATCCTGCTAACCATTAGCTGCTGTGCATCCATGAGAGAAAATCCCGATCCGGATACCAACAATATGATGATCGAATCACTGGCCAATAAGAAACTGGAAATTGTAAAACGCGTACGTGTGATTGGTTGATGATAGAAACGATAGAAACGCGCTTGCTAACCGTTAGCGTATCCGGATACCGCTAAAATTGTTATGAATATTCATGAAGTGCATAAAACTGCTACTGACCTCATATGCAAATTCTTCCAGGTCGTCAAGCTGTTTTTTTAACTGTTTAATTAATTCCATCTGCTTTTCTCGTTGCTGCATCATCTTTTGTTCATGCTCTTTTTCACTCTGATGAGAAACAGATTAAAAACAAATAAATTAAAATAATGATTGTTATTTCACATCAAATTGTAGTGTAGATGGAATTTCCTATTGGTGTCTCTGAATGTCCATCAGTATTTGGTTGCCTAGAATGATGTCGAGAAATACACATTTAAGACTACATGAGGTATTAAAGACATTTACCATATTCTCCAACATTTGGGCATCTTGCGATGTAGATCCTCGGACATCTGGACAACCTTCAAATGCAAACTGCTCCAAATCTTTAAGAAGCAACTAGAAGAAAAATATTTAAACAATAAATACACATTTCATACATTGATTTTTCTAAATAATAAATGGCAATTAGAAAATAGAATTTTGTTTTCAGATTTTTCAGTCATTTGAAGTACTGTAGTGTAATTTAAAACCTCGTTAAATAAATTGGTATGATGTCGAAAGATTTCCATGTTTTCCATTATTATTGATGATTTTGAGGTTAATATAAGACAGCCAGAAATACGAAGACAATGGTAAGATAATCTGTTGTGATGTCATCAGAATCTGTTGTGATGTCATCAGAATCAATTGTGCTCAAACCAACTTAAGGAAAAGATGGAGATTGAACAATACAATATTGGTTGCTATTTGTTCTTTCTCTGAGCAGCTGTTAACTAGCTGATAGGCTCATTAAATTGAAGTTTCAATGCAGATGTTTGATCATTATGTTGGACTTTGTCACATGTGTAGGTACACACATTTACATGTTTTGATAAAAAACTGGTATTTAAATTACATTACAGTATATTAGTATAATCTTAGTAACTAATTATCCATTCCAGAACATATGCAAACTGCTTGTAAATGGCATTAAATGGTACATACAGTATTTATTTACACAGTGCACGCTTGACTAAACACATTACAATTTTCCTACAGATAACGACACAGTACAAATGCTATTTGAAAAGCTTATAACCACCATCATATTGTGTGTGGGTGTCTGTTATATGGATTTATTATATCCGCCAGCACTACAAGTGTACAGTAGTGGAATGTTGAGGCAGAACAAACACAGTTTTATCAAAAGCACACTAGAGTAATTATTGCACATTATGGTGAAATGCAATATAAAAGATTTTTATAGTAAATTCTCCTAAAAACATGTTTATTTAAAATACACAGTATTACTACTGTATATAGTATACTCTAAAATATATGAAGAATAATATGATAACTAAAGTATTATTCAATATTGAGTTGTGGTTATATTGATAATTATAACTCATTGTACTATTATTGTAGTTATAATTGTCATTAAAATTATACATATTTTTTAGTCTCCCTCTATTTTATAAATACTTTTAGGACCAGTGTTTTAGTGGTCTTTAGCAGCATTGGATAAGTCAGATTCTTGTTATTCAAGATCAACACTAAACTTTTGATATTGAACTATTTAGAGTGAAATTAAGAATACTGTAATATATTAAGTTCGTTTTTTTAGAAATTTTAGACACTTACTAATCATAAAATTAATATCTCTAACTTTTACCGACACTGTACTAGGTTTAAGTACTGTAAGTCTACGATATGTTTAAAACAGAAGAAATCTTGTGCTTGATAATGATGCTGGTACTGATTAACTCAAGTGAATCATGTGCACCTGTTTCACTAGGTTTCCATGGTTATTAAAAATACATACTGTAAGGATTTATTTTTGTTCTGGTTCCAGAAATTTGCAGAAAGGGGTCAAATAGGTCTGAAAGGGTCTTAGAGTAAAAAGATTTTAAGTTTTAGGATGATAAAAATTATGCTTTTACATCAACAATATTAGGAACAGCAATTTGCAAAATAATATCTTTAGTATGATGACAGAAGGGTACATGTTTGGGTTCAATGGGGACAGAGGGCCGTCTGACCTCCATCAGTGGCATCGCCACTAACATAAAGACTCAGATTTTGTTCTGGAGCAGAGAGATAAAACAAAACAATAACCATTGCCAATTATAATTATTTTTTAATCAAAAAAATGAAAGGAAACATAACATGCATATTTTTTTTTTAAATACCTCTTTTTCTTCTATAGGAGCATGAACAATTTGTTTGAGTCTGAACTGGACTTGTGCAAAATGAGTTGTGAGTGCCAGTAGAGATGAGTTTAGTTGCTCCTGTTCCTGCTCAAGATGTTCCAATTGGTCCTGCATCGCTACTGGGCTGTCAAAGACAAAAGACATTCCTAAATTTAAATCTACATTCATAATATGTGGCAAAAATTTTTTTTTAAAAATAATACAAAGGGTAAACAGTACAATGAGAATAAAATGGTAAAAGAATCCTTTAATCGGACATTTCGTTATAAAGTTACAGGAGTTTAAACATACAGCTGTTTAAAAAACAATATCTGAGAAATCAGCCTTCAAAATTTATGATTTCAGGCCTTTCTCAGGCAGAAACCATCAACTTATACACATCTAGATGTGTATAAGAGACAGGCTATAAGGAGCCTGTTATTATTATTTTTATCATTATTATTATTATTATTATTAGGAGCCGCACGTCCTTCAGGCGACAGTGGACTTTCCGCTTTTGTGACTCCTGAGACGTCATGCCAAACGAATAAAATAAAATAAAATTGATTATTATTATTATTATTATTATTATTATTATCACTATTATTATTATTATCATCTCCATCAAGGGTTAGTTTAGTACAATAAAATAGATTTCAAAAATGTTGACATGTCAGTATGTTTTGGCCATTATCTCCAAAACAGGATTTGCGACGAGTTACTGGTTTGGCTTGTTTGGCTTGTCTTTGCCACATATTTAGTCTTTGAAAATTTAGGAAACTTTTGTCCACTTAACTTTAGATCACTAAGTCCTACTAAAGTAAACTAGAGGGAAAATTAACAAAATTTGTCAGTTCGAGCTGCTGGAGTAACCAGGACTGTATTCATTTGGCCAATTAAAAGAAAAATGCTAATGTAAAAGGCCAAATATACAGTAAATGTATACAGTTGAACTTGCCTATTAAAGTTAAATCTAAAATAACATTGAAAAATTGTTTAAACTTCCAGATTTGACTTACAGATCATTTATAAATGGAATGAAAACAACAATTTGAGATGTTAAATAAGATCGACTTAGAAATTATTTGAGTTAGGCAAACTCGACTTAGGCCTTTTTATTAATGTTTACATGTGTGCTAGTGTTATGGTTTTCTACTGGTCTGGTCCCACAATCCTATTCAATTTAAATTACGGTTTAATCAATTAGTAATCAGTTTCAATCAGCTACAGTAGAGGGTCTACAGTCTCCCATTAAATCTATTTTAAAAAAATCTATTTTTTTAAAATATAGGTAGGCCAAGCCACACGTTAGACAGACATGTTGAAAGGGAATACCTGTTCAAAAGGTAAGAATGTGAGTCACGACTGACAGGTCAGTGTGAATGGAGGAGCTTGGACAATAGGAGAGTGAATTTAAATTGAACAATAAGCAAAGAAATCAGCAGACTTAATATGTAGGCAAGGATAATTCATAGTACTGTTGGCTACACTTTTGTTGTGACCAAGGGAAAACGGGTTACTTATATTGGCAGCAAGTGCCGGCTTGTAAATAGTGGTTGGGTCCATGCCTATTTCTCTTCCCATTCCCAAATTACCATGCCGCTTTGTAATGAAATGTTAATTATTATATTTTATTATTTCAAAGTACTATTAATATTATAAGGCACCTATGACTATCAAAGGAAGCTTCAAAACCATTGAGGCATTAACCTCTATGTATGCATTCATATTATTGCCAAACTGATAACGTAACACTAACAGCGTCCTATCCTGATGAAACTCCTGGGTGGAGATAAACAAAATTATACTACTTTGCCACATACAAACAAAATCTACAGCTAATCTATTATTTTTGTCCATAGAATGGTTACAATATTCTAGGTTAATAAAAATAAATTTTGTAAGAACTTACTGAAACTATATCATCCACCTACGGAAATATAATTCAGTAACAATATACACAGCATTGGCCCTGCTACGCCATTGGCCTACAGTACGCTTATGTTGTTTATATACAATGTAATTGTTTTGGTTGCAAAGAATGCATTCAAATGGATTTGAAATCTCCAGTTTAAACATTAAAAACCTGTGAAATAACAGGTATACAGTAAGTTCAGGAAAAAAATAGTATTGAATTTGAATGCTAGGCCTACTGCTTATATTATCTGAACTATTAATATAATTAATAAAATGGACTGAAATATTGTTTCTTTTTTGTTTTTCGTTTCCCTTAAATTCAATATTTGAATTATGAATGCACAGCTAATGAAGAAACAAAAAAAAAAAAAAAAAGCTTTTATCACAACACATTTTACCACCTCACCTTAGAACTAATCCATTCGGAGGAGTGTCTGGCCGACTTTTTCGGCTATGGCATAGCATACAAGACATGGTAATTTTCTTTGATAAATAACAGTTTCAATAACTTGCAAAAAGTACCGCGAAAGACCCTTGTTTGTTGTAAAGGTCAACCGTGAAGTTATACACAATGATAATTCTAGCTGAGAATTAATTGATTTCACATTAATATACGGTAGTATAAAAAACAGATTTAACAAGACACTCCATGGACTTGGGTAACAGTTACTTGAAAATAATGCATCCCTATCTGATGCGACAGATATTCTGTACTATTCTTTATTATTCGTAAAAATGTTACTGTAGTCATAAATATAGTATGAATTGAAACACTGTTCAATGAAACCACTGAACTGTTTTGCAATAATGCTAGATTGAATATATCTGTTCAGTATTTTTCAAACAAATTATATTAACTGGAGCACAATGACAATATAATTTTAAGCATTTTTTTTTTTTGACTTTTTCTTTTTAAATCCACATTCTAATCTAAACAAATTATATCATTTCCATCCACCAGGTTGTAAATTCGAAAGCAAACCGTTCCAAATCAAGTCAAGTTTTTATCAAGAAAAATTCTTCCGTTGTTCATTGCAATCCACATAAATAATCAGTACTTTTCTCTGATAAGTCTTGTACTAATGTGACTCATGATGTCCATGAAAGAAAGGGTGTGTTCTTCTACCATATGCTCACATTCGGTGATTTACTACAGTATAATTCCATCCTGGATAAAATAATGTAAGATAACAAACATGATGCACAATATTTACTCTAACATAAAGTTCCATTGTTTCAGATGAAAAGATCCTTAATACAGCATCTCTGCCGAGTGTGTGGCATTATAAGTCAACATTTCTTCTTGTTTTGCTGCTTGAACTCTGAAGGACTACTGGTATTTCATACAGGTAAGCCTATTACGGTATTAAGTGTCCTACTCTAGGTAACTGCCAAGTTGGCCTCACCTCTTCCTGGATAATTACCACAATAAACATTCATCTACAAAATCAGCAATCCTTCCATCAAAATCAAAATCAAAATCAGCAATCCTTCCATTATCTTTCCCCGTAATTCCTAATTGCTCTTTACGATGTCTTAACTTCCAGGCTCTAACCTGCTCCTGAAATATTTTTTTCTTTGCTTTAATGTTAAACTGTATAATTATCCTTGCTTCTTCTAGGTTGTCATATATTGCATACACTGACTCCACAAACCATTTTAGTCTAGATTCTCCACTGTATATCCATGGTTCTCTTCTCTGAGTCTCTGATAATATATCTTGGATTCCATGTTTTTATATTATAATGCTTACTTCTTAGTACTATAGTTGCATCCTGGTTACCTTAGATTCCAGATACTATATTTCATTCTTGATGCCAGCTTCTTTATGATATCCTTGAATCAAAGTTCTTAATTGTTCTATATTTTATCCCATAGGTTTTAGGTCCTGCTTCCCAGTCTAAAGGCTGTTGTGCACTAAACATCTACCTACTACACCACCCAAGCTGGAGCTGCTCTCAGTAAACTTGTCATAAGCCTTTTGTGCAATTCTAAAATTATAATGCAATTTTATAGACCCCTTGTTTTATAGGATTAACTGTCTATCAGCCTGGATACCATATGTTGCATGATAGCAATTTCTCATACAGATAACATGCAAGCCATAGGTATGTGCGCCCTGAATCATCCATTTGCAGTGTATATTAAAAATGTGAACATCACGATCGATCTATCTATCACATGACTGTCTGCAATGCAGGTGCTTAACCACATTTGCATAAAACTTAGACAAGATGCTGAGGATCAGAATGACATATTTTCACAGGTATATCAACACATTTTCATCACCACAATTTATTGAATTCTACACTATAAATATTAACTTATTTACTGCAACTTGTTAGCTACAGAATAGTTTACTGCAATAATTAATATTGTGGAAAGCGATATGATTATTATTGATTGATTGTGAGAATGTAGTAATTAACGCATGAGTGAATAATAATTATTATGACAAATTAGAAAGCTCCACTGGATCAGATTCTCTGGTTAATGAGCAGGGCATCTGATTGATTCCAGATTCTTAAAACTATAAATAGTATTAGTAGGATTTGCATATCAAAAACAATATAGAATATGTCACATTTTCCCAGTCATCAGGGAAACCAATAAACTATACAATATGTGCTTTGGTGAACACAAAAATACATGTCACATCACACAACACTATCATCAAAAACCAGAACATCAAGGTTATCGTCCCCAAAAATACAACACGTCTGTAAAAACGGGACACATGTCTGTAAAAACAGGACACATGATTTTAACAGTAGCTCAGTCATGCCCCCACCTGAAATGCCAAAATAGTAGAAAAGGAAACCAAATATCAAATTTATTTCCATACAATGAAGTAATAAAAAAGACACACTTTAATAAAGGAAGCCATCTGAAAAACCAAATAACATGAACTGAGATAGAGTGGGGTACTAGCGATCACACATATACAATATAATTCTGATCCATACAGGACAGACCGGACATATTGCATTAGATGTTTTACCAATAAACATCAGATGATAAAGGGCGTAAATCAAAATCAACACCAGGATAAGACCAAGTCCATCACAAGGATTGATGGATGGATGGATGGATTTATTTGGTGTGAATACCAAGAATAGCCCACGAAGTCTAAGAAGACTTATTTCCAGTGGGGTCCTTCTGGTGGTAATTTTGTAGTACACAGTGAGGCAATCCCCAACACTTTTCCGAAGAGTGTCCTGCATTCTTTAACGTTCACATGGGACATTTTGCACACAAAACCAACGGCGGGGGGGCCGGGAGGGCATTTGCCCCCCCCCCCACTTTTTCCCAAGAAAATGTGTCCTAGGGGCCTATTTAATAAAATATCTTCTGAGTGAGAAATATATTACTGAAAAACATCCCCACTTTTTCCCAAGAAAATGTGTCGTATCGTATCGTATTTAATAAAATATCTTCTGATTGAGAAATATTACGAAAAACATTGCGACAAAAACTTCCGTCTCACAATGAATGAGAGTGGCTGAATATAGCGCCACCTAGCGTCCATGATTTTCTATGGATTATATTTTGTCTTACGTACACTCTGATTGGCTTGAAGTAGGGTTGATTACGTGGTCGAGTTCGAATAGTAGTTGGTCATCCAGTGAGAAGTGGATCATAACTTATGGTGATTTAAATTTGTAATCTCTGTATAAAACTTATAAATATGTTATACTCCAATTAAAGAGTTTAAATTCTACAAATAGTTTTCAATTTGGCCCTGGTCATTCCATGTTATAAGGATTAAAACTGATTTTAAACTACATTAGACATAGGCCCTATGTATGGCTGGGTGGCAGTCTTATTAAATAGCTTCGGCCTAGTCTACCGCACAGGAAAAAATGTAGGCAGCTAGCCTAGATCCTATTTAATCACTAGAGAAAACATTAGGCCTACAATATTAACGATTTTCCATTGCCAAGATAATTATGAATGAGTCTTAGTAGTAGGCAGTTTTTTGAAAAAATAGGTACTCTTGCATACTCTTTGTTTCTCGTTGTTTAATTCATTTTTTTTATTACAACATTACAAAACATATATAAAGTCATTTTGCAGGAGGATGATGCAGGCTATCAAATAACTTCATAAAAAAAATCACTGAAATTCGTCAAATATCTGTGGCTACCGACTGCTTATTTGGCCACCCCCCGCCCCACTTCCAAATTGCTTCCTACGGGCATGTAACAAGATCATAATTATTCAGGCTGAAGAATGGTGCAAAGTGTGCAGAAAAGATCTCTATTGATTATAAACATATTTTTTGTATTCACCGTGTCTAAAAAAATTTGATAGGATCAATCCACTTCACGACCTCTGCATTTTCATGTACCATAAGGTATAAAATGTTTGATGAATGATGCAAGTAAAATTTGACAAATATTCTCCTATTCAGTCTATTTTTCTTTAAACATTCAAAGTTGGTGTTTAGTTTTTAGCATTTGAATGCAAAATAAACATTTAATATTTTTACATTTTTGTCGCTAAACTATCACAGTCTGAGCTTTTGGGGACTTGGAAGCCTAAACCCCAAGCCTTCCTCTATTGGGTTACTGTATGGTCCTTTAATGATGTTTTAAATCAAATCATTTCTTCATCTTGCCTTGGTCCACCCCTCCCCTGGCTCCATTTAATCAACCCTGGTGCCACACCTGACTGTTTAACTTTTTATAGTATTAAATTGCATCTTGATACTCTCAGAGTTTTACAGATTAGATCCAATATTCAATTTAAGTTGGAAAATCAACAAAAAGCAAGTAAAGTGAACATTATGAATGGCAGTTCAAATTTTGGCAACTGACAATTCCATAGTACTCAATGTCATGGATATCAATTATTATTTTATTATGATCATTAAAACCAGCTTACTATTCTTCCGTGGTAGATACAGCTGGGCTAGCGACTGCACCAAGTGGTGCCCAACGTTCTTGAGGGGGATTATCACTCAGTTGCTCATCCATCGAATCGTCCGTCATGGTTGTCTCATCGATCATTCTACCGCTTGATCCAATTTTAGGTTTATTGCAAATGCTAAAAAAATGAAATATCACAATATTAAAATTACAATTTTTTACAATTTGTTTAAAATCAGTTTTGTACAAATGTTATTGTTCAATAAACAACATGGGGCCAACCAGGGTCAGCGCCAGCGGGAAGGCAGGGGAATTAAGCACCCCTCCCCATCGGAGGCGACGACTCCACCGGAGCAATATGCACGTCGTGAAGGTACTGTACCTTGACCAGGGCCCGGAGCAGGGAAGGAGTTGTTATGCCTTGACTATATATCTCTGTAGTCGAGTAGGTAATAATGTAGAAAACATAGAGCTATTAAACAACTAGAGTACTGACAAGATGGCGAAGCAATGCAGAGTTATGTATGTGTACCATCCAATATGGCCGCCGAAGGAAAGCGCCACCTTCAGGCTTAGTATACACATTATTACCATAAATTAGCCCTCTGACTGACTATTATTTCATTAATGATAATTAGTATTGATAATAACAAATTATGAAACTATCGTAGCCAAAAAGAGGCCAAGTAGAGCATCTTATTCAAAAATATAAAAAATAAAATCGTGTACATTACACATATACACCGCAACGCTCGAGTTTCAAACATAAGGGTAACTAGGTGTACTGAACTTCCTGTGTAAATTGAGGGCGCCATTGAAAATGATAGCGCTTAGGCAAAATTTGATTGGCTGAATCTATGGCAGCCATCTTGGATGGTACACACACACAACTCTGTGTATTTCGAACATCGAATACATTGCAGTTAGCGCTCTAGTATTCTTGTTATATCTCTATGGTAGAAAATAACCCTAACGGTACTGATTGCGAAACCAATCTTGGTCTAGGAAACAGGCTGGTGATAATAGGCCTACTTGGTATGGTACATTTTGATGCCAGAACGTAATAATATTTATTATCCTCGGCAGTAACTACAAACATCCTATGATTTAATTTTGGATTTAAAATAACTGTAAAATAATATATACTCTTGCAACAAATGGGGAGATTCGTTTTTTTTTTTTTATACTGCGATAGCACTGTTGTCTCGCGATCCCGAAAGATGTAAACAAACCCTAATACCCACTATAAGTCACGTGACCTGAGCCGCCGATTCGGTCTATTGTGCACACTGGGCCTACTACAGTTTATACTAGGCCTAGTCCATTCTGAGAAGACTTGTTCCAACACTAGAAATATAGACGATCAATGTGTCGCTTGAACCAGTACCATGGCTGTAGGATGTGACATCCTTACAATAACCGCCACGCCCCCAAGCAAACTTGCCCCTTGAAATCTCGTCCCCCCTGGTAAAGGTCCCCCTTGATGTATTTTGCATTGCATAATACAAATCATTACAATACACAAATATACAGCAAGTACGATGGCCAGCAGATAGCAGACAAATCGAAGTTGGTGACATGTATGAAGTAGGTGAACACACGTGACACACATTCATTGCCATCGCACGTTTGCACCTAAAAATACAGTAGCTAGGGCATTTTTTAGCATCTGACAGGTAATGTGCTAACATTCCTGAAGGCGGCGTACAAAGAATGGCCGCTTACCCTCAAGAGTACCGTGGGAACCTGTTTGGTTGTCCGAGTTTCTTTCTGATTTTCAGATTAGGCATTATGTATTATTATAAAAATGATCACGACAATATGGTAAATGAAATTAACAGACAAACCTCAATTTAATTAAGCATTATTAAACATGTAATCAAAATATATAGCAACAAACGATAAAAACTACCTTGTAGAATTCACAGGGAGTGTTTTTTATGGTTGCGCTAAAATGTGCTTTCAGACCACAACATTACAGGATTGGCAGTCCAAATTAACGTTGGATATCAAAATTATAATATTTTTAATTCTTGTTCTGACGACCTACCGATAGTCGACCTACCGGTAGTCGTGAGACAGGGATTCCAGGCCTGTCCGACAGGAGAAAATTCCCCTTCCCCTCCTGGCGCCACCACTGACGGTACCAACCCAACAGAAGGTTTATGGGCAAGTTTGTTAGGGGGCGAGTTTAATTGTTAAGGGGAAAGTTTGTTAGGGGTGACTGTGTATAGTCTGTCTCTTATACACATCTAGATGTGTATAAGAGACAGACTTTTTACAGTATTAAATTGCATCTTGATACTCTCAGAGTTTTACAGATTAGATCCAATATCCAGTTTAAGTTGGAAAATCAACAAGAAGCAAGTAAAGTGAACATTATGAATGGCAGTTCAAATTTTGGCAACTGACAATTCCATAGTACTCAATGTCATGGATATCAATTATTATTTTATTATGATCATTAAAACCAGCTTACTATTCTTCCGTGGAACTCTCTCTCTCTCTCTCTCTCTCTCTATATATATATATATATATATGTATGTGTATATATGTATATGTATATATATTTATATTATATATGTGTGTATGTATGTATGTATATATGTGTGTATATATGTACATATATATATATATATGTATATATATATATATATGTATATATACTGTATGCTGTATATATACACTCATACATACTTTGTCTAGGTTTAAAGTGGCATTTGGAAACATACATATTATTTTTGGTGATTCGTAGTTTCCACAAAACACAAAACAACCGGAAAATTGCAGGGTCGAAAAAAAATCGCCTAAATTATGACAAAAACTGGGAGCATTTTTACCAAAATTTGGATTTTTCATCTAGTCGTTTGTTGGTGATTCTTTCGTCCATAGAGGCTATAGATGCCACAGAACACAAACAAGATCTTCTTTTCATGTTCTATAGAACTGAGTCTCAAACACCCTCCCTGGAGCGAACTACATTTACCTAAAATATTAAAATACACTTCGATAATATTTACAGACACGTTACAATATTAAACTGCAACTTTGAATTGAAACCAAAATTTCACTGTTTTTCCTTTCTTTTTTTTTTCTTTTAAAATTAAATAAAGCTGATTCAGTTTTGTTTGTAGTATATTTTGAAGTGAATATGCAAAAAACATGGTTTTTCTTTCACAAACTATGGTTTGTTGCAAAGAAAGACAAACAATGGTTTGTATTTTACGGGGCACTGTCCGGCACACTAACCATTCTGTCTTGCCAATCATGGTTTGTAAAAGACAAACCATGTTTTAAATCATTGAAGGAAACCAAACCAAACCCTAACCACAATTTGTAAAAGACAACCATGGTTTATAAAACACAAACCATGACTAGAGGGAAATATAGTTGTGTTGTCATCAATATATCTACAGTATATGATATCTAAGAGTATCTTATATTAGGGGGCTTTCGATTGCACGACCACGGTAGGACGTAGAATGTAATGGCGTCACTAAAAGTCATCTGCGCTGCGTTAAGGTCACCTCATCGAGCAGATTCTGGAACGCAATTTGGCCAAATCGACGTATGCAGAGAAAAGTGTGACGCCAGTTAGGACGGTCACGCATGAGTGATTCCGCTCTAGCGTCGCCGCACAATTCGAAAGCTCCTATTGTTTATCTATTTAATATAATGTTAATAATAATGTGAAGTATAGCGGAAAAGAAAGTAAAGTGAAACCCAAGAAATCATTTTTAATACACTTTTATTTCCAGTTTCACATTCAAAATACATTCTACAATAGTTCTTTAATACTTGCTTTACAAAAGAAACAGGAAGGCAGATATATATGCATTGTTGGAGAGTTTATATTTATTTACATTGTTAATTGTTTGTATAATATAAGTGATGCAACGCTGTTCAGACAGACATTAAAACATACTGTATACCTATATATTTAATATGTTTTAGAAAAAGTTAATCCACCGATATTTCAAAAATAATAATAAAATATGTGCTTGCTACAATGTGCTATACACATCTTAGCATTGTTTCTTGAGTACATAAAAGGGAGTTTTCACAAGCTTATGCAAACGATCACGAATACGCCATCAAATTTTTAGACAACCCTTTCCCTAAAGTAGCATATCTGCCACCATGTAGGCCATTTATGCTTTTTGCATGAATCAAGCATCATATTTACCTTGTACAGTATATTGTCAAGAATATTTTAGGCACAAATGATGATAATGACGTATTCGTTATCGTTTTCGTAAATTTCCCTAATAACAATAAAACACCCTAAATTTTGCAATGTTGAAATCCCATCACATGTATGTACAGCACAACCTGATGTAATATACTTATCTACTAAATTTTTAATAACTTTTTTCAAAGAAACATTTTAAATCGTCCAACTATTCCATTAAAATTGCAAATAACGAAAAAGAAAATTGCAAAAATAGGCCCTAATTCAGATATAATATATTCACTATTTTAAATTTATTCACATGGTATTTATAAGATAAAAGACATTTTATAATAATATATTATTTTCATAAGGTTTTTAATTTATTAATAAGACATTTTAATTGATCTGATTATTATTATGCTAATGTTTCATCATCATTCATTTTTTTGACATTTCCAGCTTCTCCATAAAGTACATTGTCAAAACCAGTTTTCTGAAAGAAAAAAACCAGATCAGTTAAAAAGTTAAATGTTTTATACGAATAAATATGAAATATTTCTTAATATAAATGAAATTCTAGTTTCTCATTTGTAACAAATTGATAAAGCAAGAATAATTTGTTTATAGAGTACTACAGTGTTACGTCACAAAACCATGTGATACTACTCTGTTGCTATCTTGCAAAATGTGACGTAATTTTCTCCACTGACAAACCACTGATCCTAATTTCTAACGTAATTATTAAGATGTTGTATCTTAGTTTTTCTTTGTAAATTCTAATTGATGATTATATGTGTGTTCGATAACAAACATAATGCAAGCATTTGTGTTGTTAGTACATTTTGATGGTAAAATATTAGATTTTAAAATGCCTATTCCAGAAAGCCTGTGAAGTCATTCAGGCGTAATAGTAACCAACATATGGTTGGCAACAGAGAGCACCACCTGGCGTTGTGACGACATGACTGTGGTAGTCTATACAAATCCTTCGAACCACTTGTGAAATGGGTTGAGGGATTCATTTTCCTTGAGAGATAAATAGAACTTTATAATCGGTTTATACTGTTATTCAAAACAGACATGTGTAGTCTGGTATTCCTACCGATGATGAAGATGATGATGCAGCTGGTGTGTATGGTTCTCCTACAAACATGGACGTGTCAACATCACTCATGGCAAACTGTCAATCAAATACAGAATATACAAATTAGGTATCTAAGTATGACAGAAACAACATCAATATTCACTTATACCATCATCATCTAAATTGGTAAGAAATTAGTTGGTATCGAAGATGGTGACCAAATTGGATTTGAATTATTGATGTGTTCTCCTTTACAATTCAAAAACACAAAATAAATACACAGGAGTGGGTCAGTTCAAGGAAGAACATATTGGTTATTAAGGTCCCCAAATTTCATAGCAGTAAACGAAATGCTAGGGAGGCAATAAATGAAGCAAGAGCAGATGCTGTATTTTTTGTTGAAAGCCCTAATTTATGCAGATTATTAGTGGTGTTGTTAATAACCCAGTGAGGTAGATATAAAGCTATAATGCCAATTCTTTCATAAGTATAAACACCCCTCAAAATTAATGGAACATTTGGGACCTTTCATTTATAAATGACAAACGTTAAGAGGACTTACTACAGCTGGTAGTAGTCAATTTATTAAGGCAATTATTCTAAAACGATTAAACCATGCACAATTCATGATAGGTTGGCCATACAACAAATACGTAGGTGCCTATACACCAGTAGAGTGTCTACGAACAAGAACATTAAATGTATTTCTTACATCAGTAAGTGGTTCTCCAAATGACTCTGTTCCATACACGGGATTGTCTAGGCCAGGTTTACCTATTTTTGTAATGTCACCAAAACGTCTGCAAGGAACAAGAATTACATATGTTATACACAGCTATTCCCTATTCACTATTAATACATTGACACAGTACTGGAAAAACAATGATAAAATGTATAACTGCAGTAGGTTGAACATAATTCAAAGATAATGATGGTGAACACTTTGATAAATATATCCATATATAACTGTTGTTGATGATGGAGTAACTTACTTCTGTTGTTTTCTCTTCAGAATCATATAAGCAACTAAAATCAATATGATAACCAGCAAAATGGCTGCCACAACTCCAATAGCAATAAATACAGCTTCTAAAGAAAGGAGATAAAAAGAGTTCAAAAAATTACATAATATGATATTGACATATTGTCATAAAATTACTACAGCAAAACATCTTGTACAGATTGTAATATGAACACCATCATCATCATCAACATGATTATCATTACTATGACTACTAATTGGTGCTTGTAATTTTATAGTTCCCTTCCATCACTATCTATTTTTTGTTACTTATTTGTAAAGATATTATAAAATTGCATTTTGAAATCAATTGAATTAATAAATTTATAAAATACAGATTCTCAAGATAAAATAAAGTTAAAATCTAATCTTCACTCACCATTATTTCCATTGAATGGTTCCTCTGTTGATCTGGTATTGTTTGCTGAAATTAACAAGACATATTTAATTATTCTCAATGGAAATTATAAAAAGTGAATAACTTAACTCATGAACAATACAGTATACATGAGCAACAGACTGTTGGTTTAATATACAATCATGTAACTTTGACAGGAATTGAACCCACAACCATGGGATTGGGAAGCAAGCACCCAGTACAGCTCCACAAAATTTCACAATGCCATTACTGAACTTTCAAATCCAAACCAATGATGTCATTGTATGTGCCCCCTAACATAGATGGTTCTATTTTTTTTCGTAGGAGTGGAAATTAGTCCGTTTATCCAGGTAAGTATTCAAAAAATAGACCATAGATACTTATGTGGTAGTGTGTTATACTTACGGCAGTTACTGATATCCGCTGGTTCGTCAGCCAGATCTCCTGGGCAGTCAACCTTTCCATCACACACCCAATCCAACGGAATGCAAACTTGGTCGCGGGGACAGAAAAAGTGATTCCAATCACAGGGTCCGGGGTAATGTGTTGGTAAAAGTGCATCTAGGGAGGGAAAAGTTTAAACATAACTGCTTTTCTCAAAATATATCATGCAACAGAGAACAGTATTAGAAATGAAACATGCTCCCTAGCATATAAGCCAATTCATAGTTAGAACTGTGCATGCTTGTATCAAAGGTTATTCGAGGTCAATCAATCTAAACCTATGTTGTGTGTATGGTGTTTATGTTGGCTGAACTTGATACGAGCTTACGCAGTTCTAACTACAAATTTGCTTATTGGAACTGATTATGCTCCCTAGCTTAATGGACATGCACCATATACTATCTGAACTGACCATGCTCTGTAGCAAATATTAGAATTACCTGGGTCTCTACAGCCTGCTGTAAAGGTGACATCATCAATAGCTATGTCAGAGAGTTCTCCATAACCAGTGATGGCTTCAAAGACCACCCGATATTCCTGGTTGTTGTCAATGTTGATCTTTCCATACTTCCAACCATCTCCTTGGTTACCTACCAACTCCCATTGTAGCAGTTTGAAGCCATTATCAACTGCCATGGTATACAACTGTATAAAATAATATTTATTATTAGAGAAGGTATTTGAGGTGCTTTATATATCTTTATATTATAATTGTTGTTTATACACTTCTTTTTGGATTCCACTTCATCTCAGCTGAAGAAACAACAATAATACTCACAGCTTTGGAAGTATGCTAATCAGAAGTGATGTTGATAGTCTATGAGTGAGATACATAGGCTACCTGGATAAACCAAAAATTAGTGGCAATTACTCAGTTTATCCAGGTAATTATTCATAAAACAGACTCCAAAATTCCCAGATAATTACAGTTGCGTGTATAATATATACATTAAACAAAAATTATTATCTGTCTTTTTACTTGAGCTAGGCACAAACACACCACTGCAGTCGTGGCCAACAAATGTATTTCTGCCAACTGAAAGCCACAGTCTGCTGATTTTTTTGTGGATTGACATTAAAAACAATCATGGAATCGCATCGGTCAACAACTGTCGGTGCAGGGTGTGCCCAGTTATATACATAGAAATAGAAATGCTGCTTACCCGTAGTCCTCCCATGTCGGGGCCATTCATGCTGTACCAGAATCGCATTATGCAACTGTTCTTACTAGCTGGGAAAGATGGTGTTGCAACCCATGTAAGGTCACCTTTCTGTAGATCAACTGAGCTAGCATATAGAAAAGAGCCTGCAGAAAAATATGTACAAGTTAAGGTCAAGGTTCATATCTAGAAGGCTGTTAGTTTGCTGGTTAAGGCTTCCTAGTATGCATTTAATATAACACTGTCTCCTTTGCATATATGGATTAACTAATACTAAGCTGGCAATTTATTTATATTAAAAAAAATGAAAGTATATAATATCTTGACTTACCACCATTGGAACTTGGTGTGTGGTCGGAGTCTGGACCTGTGCCTTGAGTTGGGGTTGTTTTTCCTTGTGACCAATCAGATTGGTCTCCTTCCAGCTGTATCCAACTACAACTCTGCTCAAACGGTGACTCAAATGTGCAATCTCCTTCATGAAGTGCTGAATAGATAAAAATTACATGGATAGATAGCTATGTACAATATCAAACTTGGATACAATTTACAAGAGTAATAGTTAATTATACTACGGCAAAACTGAGAGCAATGGCCACTGGAAAAATCATGATTTTTAAAAAGGAAGAATTAGGTTCAAAGTTCATATACAATAATAATGCTTAAAAATCAAACTTGGATATATTTTACAACACTGCAAGGTCAATAACAACAACGATAATAATAATAATAATAACAACAATAATAATAATAATAACAATAATAATAATAATAAAAATAATAATAATAAAAACAAATCGGACTTAAGGGAAATATCATTTGTGTTATTTCCCACTTAACACCATGTCATTTTTCACTAAACGTCGTTTTTTCAATTATTCTCTGATTTAAAAAAAATTTAAAATTTACAACACTACAAGGGCAATAATAATAATAATAATAACAATAATAATAACATTAATAATAATAATAATAAAAATAATAATAACAATAATAATTTTATCTTTTCTTATATATACTGTAGGTAGCTGCTGAGAAGGCAGATCCACTTTATACAACTGCAATCTCTCTTAATTTTTTTTATAAAGACCATGAACATTCAATTCACTTACGACAGTCATCTTCATCTTCTCCACCAGCGCAGTCATTTCCGAGGTCACATACATGATCAAGGTCAACGCAGGTTCCATCTTTACATGTAAACTCATCACTGCGGCAGTCTCCAATATAGTTAGCTATGTAAATAAATATAACAATTAAATTCTTGTTTAGACTAACAAAATGAAGGTTAATGAAAGTTTAATTAAAATCATTTAAAAAATATCACAGCACTTCCTGATGTCTAAAATGTTTTTTTTTAATGAAAACTGATTTAATGCTGACTTGTAAATTACAAATTTATTTATATTTTGGCAATTAAATTTCTAAATGTATTATAATCATTATCTGCTTCTTTAGCTTGCTGTTAAATATCATGATATATTTATTTGAATATTAAATAATCTTTTTACATATTGTTTTCTTCAGCAATGGAGAGAGATGCATCATCTATCCCTGATGGTTAAAATATATAAATATAAAGAAATCTTACCAACTGGACAACTTGCGAAAAGAATATCATCAATGGCAATATCTCCAGTGATAGTGACACCGCGAATAGCTTCAATAATGACCACAAAGTCTTCCTGATGGCCAATCTCAATGTTCCCAGTTGTCTTCCAATCTTCACCCTGGTCTCCAGAGACAGAGAAAAGCTTACTGGAGCTGCTGTCGGTTTTAAGGTACACATTGAGTGTTCCGATACTGCTTCCAAGCATGTGATACCACAAAGAGAGACTGCACTTAGAGCTTGAGTGATGGTAGGGAAGTGTCTGGAGTTGAGCTTTCTCATTGTTAGCATTGTCAATCAGTGTACTGGTATCAATATACAAATAGTGTCCTGTTCAAAAGCAGATGAAGATGCATAAATTACACGAATCAAAGTGATGTTTAAGAGTCTATGAGTGAGATATTTACCTGGAAAACCCGACTAATTGCCATTGTCCTTAAAAAACACCCCTACAACAAAAACGGAACTGACCGATTGACCCAGCACGTGCCTGCGCCCACGCTCAAACATCGTCCTTATTCCTTTTTCAGCGGTCAACGAGTATTTCTTTCTTTTTGTTTGTTCCATTTTTGTCGTGGGGTGTTCTTTAAGGAACAATGGCAATTAGTCGGTTTATCCAGATAAGTATTCGCGAAATAGACTGCCAATTCTATTATGAACACTACTGGACATTGGCTTGAATACATGTACAGGAAATGTATTATGACAATGCATTTTTAAAGAGAGATATATGAAGAAATGTAAAAAAAAAAAAAACAAAAAGAAAAAACTCAATCTTGATTCTTACCTTGTTATTTCTCTATATAATATTTTCAATATCAGACAATTCGAAAAATAAAAAAACCAAAAAAAAACTTAGATGTTACCTAGCTTAGTTCCAGGGTTGTGATCTTCTTCTGGACCAGTGTTGAGACGGCTGGAACTACCTTGACCCATCGTCCAGTCACCATTATCAGACTTTGAATTCTGCCAACCACACATGCCATACTCAAAATCACATGTCGTTCCTGTTACATCAAAAGCAATAACGGTTTAAAGCTGTGTCCAGATTATCACATTTTCTTCGAAAAAAAAAACGGTTTGGTTTCCCAACCTCAAGGTTAGGGTTTCAATCCCTCGCTGTGTATTTCACTTGTGTCCTTAGGCAAGGCACTTTATCTGCATTGCTTTTCTCAACCCAGGAGTATAAGTGGGTACCTGGTGGGGTTAAATGCCAAAATGCACTGATGTAGCTGCAGCACCGTTATGGAATACTTCCCCAGGGAGCTTGAGTTTGTCTTCCTTAGGCATTTAATCCAATGATGGTAATGATATTTTGAAGCGCATAGAGGGCTTAACAATATGTGCTATATAAGTATACCATTATTATTATTATATGCACATATATATGGTCAGATGATGTCATCATGACCATATTTAGGAATGTCACAAGTTTTTATATTATTATATAGTCTGGATAGGGCTTAATGGTTTATTAAATTACAGTTTAAAAATAATGATTTTCTTAAATATCAGTAAAGATGACTGAATTACTGTATTTACCACAAGATTTTTCATCTGATCCATCAGAACAATCATAGATGAAATCACAGCGACGAGAAGTTTCGTAGCATTGATTTCCGGTGGCGCAAGCAAATCGACCGTCGCTACAGTAGAGGTTTGTGTCATTGTAATGCGGAGATCCTGGAACTTCACCCCCTGTTATACAATCTGTTGTAAATGATACATCGTCAATAGCGATATCACCTTGGTTTCCAGAACCCTTCACTCCTTCAAGGACAATCTGTGAATACAACAACATAATGTATTTATGAAGACCAATTCACACAAATCAGAAGTGATGTTGTTGGTGAATGAGTGAGTACTTACCTGGATGAACCAATATATGCCAGTCAAACAACACACACACACCCCCCACACATACACACAAATGTGTCACATGAGCCCTAGGATCTGTCCTGGCTATAGTGCTTGGCATGAAGAAAGCAAGATATGTTTTGCTAGCATGCATTGGTAGCTAAACACAAGGCTTCAAATGAAATTCTCAATGGTAAGTGTATATTGTACTCGCTAAGAGCGAACGGAAAATTGAAGCCTGCAACATTGTTGCATTATATTTATACGCCTGGGTTGGATGATTCCACTATTTTCAAGGTAAGTTCCAAAAAAGAAACTGGCATTTACCAGTTCATTCAGGTGAATTATTCACAAAATAGACACAATGATAAGTCACTACTATGTAGTTCATGATCATAGCCACATATCCCTTCTTTCTAGCTACACCACCTCCAATGCTAGACACATTGCCACCTGGTAAAATTTCCCCCTTTAGATTAAATCAGAGGTATGACATGTTGCATATAATCCACATAAATAAAAAAGAAATATTGGGATTGGTTGGTTGTTATTGCACCTAGTTAGATTGATCCAATAATTATTACTTAATGTTCAATTGTGATTAAAATATTAATCCTTGTGGCGGCTCATGTGCTCAAGCACTGATTGAACTTCACTTCACAATCATTCATTAATTTTACTGATTTTAAAACAACATTGGCTTCGCATACCTCAAAAGCCACTCCAACTTCACCTACTGCTACATCTAATAGCTTCCAGTAATCTCCTTGTGCTCCAATTAGATGGTAGATCTGTACCAGTCCGTTGGAACTGGTGTATGACGTCCTTCGGTATACAGAAAGCATACCAACTTCTGGTCCATTCATGTGGTACCATAAACGAACCTGGAATACGATATTTAATATAAAATACTATTAGATTATTCAAATACATATTCATGGTGAGTTCAAGTTATCTTGTTTTGTTGCAAATAAATCCCCACTTAAACAAAAAAATTGAATAGAATTAAACAAGCACTTACCCTACATTTGGATCCAGTTAGCGCAGAGAATGTGGGGCTACCAAGGCGGGCAACATCGTTCTCTTGACGAGGCCATGAAGTGTCAATATAGATGTAATGACCTGGAGGGGGAAATAACCAACCAAAATATTACAACAGATGCAATTGTGGACCAGTGAAGATGATCCTCATCTTTGAATGCAAAAGACCTTGAGTTAAATCATAAAAAATGGCAGCATATTATGTACTGTCATAGCACCCTGACCCATTTCATGTCACACTATTTTTCCTTTATAATGAAACATATTGTCATTTAATTATTTTAAAACTTACCATTATTTGACTTAAGCGTGTGATCATTAGTTGGTCCTGTACCAATGGTTCCTGTACTGCCCGTCCTAAGAGTCCAGTCAAACTGGTCATCTAGTTCCTGATGCCAAGAACACAAATTCAACTCAAAATCACATCGGCCTGGGTAAGCAGCTTAGGAGAAAAAAATATTATACAAAAGGTAAAATGGGATAAAAATATAAAATCATTAATCAATGAATTGGACAAAAACAGAGGTAAAGTAGGAGAATAACCCAAGGCACTTCATGTTACATCATTCCACAACCCAGAGGCTGAAATAAGGCCAATGGAGTAATCCCTACTCTTATGAAAGCTGCGAAGGTTTCTTTAAGTCGCACACATTCCAGATGTGCACACTGGGCCTCCGGTCCTTATCCGTGAAGACTTAGCTCTACCAGATGAACCCTGAGTGAGAAAGGTCTTGAACAGGTGCTGGTGGTCTGTAAACAACAGTGCTTCCTGAGTTACTGGTGGCCACTCAACTCAAGTATTCATGTAATAAAGCTATGCTTTAAGATAATGTTTATATGATTATATTTTCACTTTCCAATTATTGATTATAATAATGTAACTTACTGCAATGGCTTTCATCAGAGTTGTCGCCACAGTCGTTGTTGTAATCACAGACCTTGTTGTAATCAACACAATAGTCATTGCTACAATGGAATTCAGTTGATTTGCAGGCATCACCAGTAATTTCTGTAGATTCAAATAAATTACACAGATGAATGTGATTGTGTACATAGTGGGCAAACTTTCTCTCATTTTTCAAAGGTTAATCTTCCTTTATGAGAGAATAACCAATAATTAATACTGGAACAATATTTTTTTGCATTATTATTACTTCCTGTTATTGAGAGTAATAAGTAGAGTAATAGTATATCAATAATTTTCGGTTCCTTGGCAATTGTTAGTTTACAAAGTAATTACTCTATAGAATTTATTCAGCTACAGCATACCTGGTGGAGCACAGTTGATAAATTTAATATCATCAACAGTGTAATCTCCACGGAATGTTGCTCCTCTTGTTGCTCCAATCACAACCTACAGAGAAAATAAAGCATTAATAATAACAATAATAATAATAATCACACAAATTAGAAGGGATGTTGGTAGTCTATGAGTGAGATACCTAGATGAACTGACTAACTGCCATCATTTCTTAAAAACACCATGATAAAAATAGAAACGACCAATTGGATGTGGGTGTGACTGCATGTGCCCACGCCCAAGCGTCGTCAGTTTATTCAGGAAAGTATTCACAAAATAGACAATAACATTAATAATTTTGTTGAAGCCAGATGAAATTCTTTGAAAATTAATAATATTAATGATAATAAAAATTATGTGTATATAGAGCATCATGCTTAACTTTCCAGTTTGTTTGAAGGCACTGTCATATTTGAATACAAACAAATTGTATTTTTCACTTTATAAACGGTTCATAAGTTGCATGTATATGAGATGTTGTATTACTTTTCCCTCATTCAAATTTAAACTTGTTTGCTTACTCTAATTTCAATTTCAGCACCAATAAAAACTTCAGCCTTCTGCCAATCGGAGCCTTGTGATCCACCAATGAACCATCTCTCCTTAAAGTCAAGATCGAATACAGTGTACACTCGCAGCGAACCAACATTTGCTCCACTGACGACGTAATAGAACTCCAGTATACATTCTGTGCCAGTACGCTGTATGATTGGTGATCCAATATAAGCAGTGTCTCCCCTGTCCCCTGGGGAACCATCAGCATACAGGTAATAGCCTATAGGAGCAAGGACAAACATCTGGATTAATATCACACAAAGCTATCGTCATGTTGTTATTGTAAGAGTGAGACACTTACCTGGATAAACTGACTAAATGCTTTGTTCCCATAATTCCCAAAGGAGGGACCGATTGCTCAACTCAGTCTTAGGCCACTGCAGATTCAGTTGCTGGCCAGCATAAACACATATCACAAGGTGCTGCCTGACCACACAAGCAACAAGAAAGGACACACAGGATCTTATTATTGGACAGTTTAGAGGTAACCTTAAAGTAGGAGAATAACCCATAACTTGCAGCATTATTGTGATGAATTGCATATGGGCATGGGCACAGCCTTGCAGGCTGATGTGGATCTCATCCACCCTTTGAATGTTGTTTTGAATGAGTGATAAGATTAGCTTTCAAAATACCTAAAGGAGTGCCAAGTGTGTGATCTGTTCCAGGTCTGTAATCATCATCGGTTGCACTAGCTCCTTGGCCACGAACAAACACAAATGAAACAGTGTCCCGCTTCATACTGTTGCTTACCTCCCAGCCACAGAAGTCGGTTTCAAAATCACAAAATGTTGATACTACGGAAGAAAACATGAATTTAAAAAAAAAATAGAACTATGCTTACATATCAGTTAGGTTATAAAAAAAATTACAATAAAAATGATCAGAGAAATGACTAAACCTAAATTCATTTCCTCAGGAAATAAAATTTAAAGTTAGTTTTGTGCAGAGTTCCTTAAGTCTTTAAAGTGCTGACCTCTCTCATCATTTATAATGAAATTCGAGCACAGCTACATCTCTTATTCATCATAAAATTTTTAATTTACATATATAATAAACCTATTTATTTATAACATGCCCAGTTGCAAGAAACTATATTATAAGTTCCACTATAACAGTGGTATATAAAAATCTGTCCAATCTAAATGGTGGTGGCATCACAGAAAGGAGTATACTGCACCCCCTCACTCTAATTACTAAGTGACAAATTTGTGCGATGTGCCCATATACAGGCATGATGATGTCATACTTCACCCAAATACATATTTTTTTGTCACATAAATTTGATAGTGTGAACAGGGATTATAAAATGGGAGCAAGAATTTCTACTTGCTTTTCACACTGATTCTTAATTTCAATAGAGTTCAAAATTTTAATTAAATAAAAAAAGTTGTCCATCATACCACACATTAATTCATCTGACCCGTCTGAGCAGTCGTTCTTAAAGTCACACTGCAATGTCGGTGGGATGCATTTGTTATCTGGTGTGCAGAACGTTTCAGATGGAGTACAGGATGGATGTTGCGTTGGTGTAGGTGTGGTCCTTAATGATGGCACAGTGGGTGGAGTGTTAGGCAAGTCACCTGTTGATGGTACACAGCCTGGCGTGAATGTCACATCATCAATTGCAATGTCGCCTTGTACTTGATCACCTACATCGGCCCTGATCACAACCTATCAGAAAACACATAAAGAAAACCAATATTAATTAATATACCATTCAGGTAATTCCCACAAATTTAACAAATCAGCAGCGTTGCTGTGCTACGAGTGAGATACCAATTGGAAAAACAATAAATGCCATGTTTTTTGTGGATATGAACAAATTCCAGGTGAATTTTTATGGAAAATTCTATTGATATCAATAAGGAAACATCTAATTTATCTGTTTATCTAGATCCAAAACAGACAAATAAAAAGATATGAATGCATTCTTCTGTATTTTGTTTTGTGGTGTTTATATACTTCACATGTAGTCTTCCAATCCACAGGTCCTGAATTTAAAATCCTGAAAACACAATCTGCTAGATATAGGTTGTTCCTCTAACTTTACATTTAGTAATTGTTGGCAGATTAAAAAAAACAAAAAACAAAAACACATAAATAAAAAAGACTGAGAATTAACAAATTATACCTTAAAATCTATAGTCCTTGATAGTGTCACTTCGGCTCTTTCCCAGAAGTCTCCTTGACTGCCAGACAGTGACCACTCAAGTTGTTCATTTCTGTTACTGTCTTTATAGATACGAGTGGACACAGACAGGGTGCTAATGTGGTCACCAAACATGTGGTAGAAGAACCGCATCTGAAAAGCAAATAAGTTTACACTTTGTTTAGAATAAAAATAAAAATGTCGCATTAATAATTGATTTTATTAACAACTACAGATGAACTTACATTATAGGAACTAGATTAATTTCTTCAATGAACCGCATTTACAACTCCATATTCATTCATAATTCTTTGTTCATTCTTTCATTTCCATTATTTACATTTTATGTCCATCCATATGATTCAGTGTATTTTAGTTTATTTATCTTTCATATATATATATATATATATATATATATATATATACACACACACCGTTATTCGGCTCTTAGGGGGAAACTCTTTTGTCTATGATTTCGCCTTAACGTCGCTTTAGTTTCCCCTTAGCGACACTACTTTCGCCTTAAGGTACTGTTTTTAACCCTCTTCATTGTTTTAGTTTCCCCCATGGATTCTTCTAAGCTCCTATATATATACTGTCTCTTATACACATCTAGATGTGTATATCAAGGTCAAACAATGTCTCTCTTTCTGACTAACGTAACAGAATGTCTTATTTTGTATACCACATTATGGATTTCCACAAGCAGTAATAAAACTGTAGCCAGAGTTTTGAAATGTAAATTTGGCAGTTTTAATTGGGAATGAGAGGCGCATGAGATAAATATCTTGCCTACCTTGCAGTCTCCGCTTAGTACCACTCCTTGGAACTTCCTACTTAGAAGTTCTGCAGCTTCCAAATAGTTTTGGTTGATAGCAGGATCAATGTACACATAAAAGCCTATAGAAAACAAATAATAGACCTCATTATTAAAATAAAATGGATTTTTCTTCAATACTAGTAATAATTGTAGTATCAGCATTGTCAACTGATGTTACTGTGATGGAAAAGTTTTACAGAAATGTATGATTTTAGTTCTTTTTGAAAATGGCAACATGTGTCACTATTTTCTAAATATTGTAACTTAAGTTACTCCGCAGTATATTATCATTTAAAAAGGCTGATAAATAAGTAATATTTTTAATATAATTTTTATTAATTTATTACATTAAGTATTATTTGGTGTCATTTTAACAATCTGATTTGATTTTAATTATCACAATCAGATCAATCAATAAAATGATGGATTTTAGGCACTCAACTACATTATAATGAAAAAAATTTACTTACCTTTACTGGTTCCTGTGGTGTGATCGCGTGAAGGCCCACTGTCAATAGAGTTCGTCGGACCGTTGTTTCTCAGCCAATCAAATTCGTCAGTTTCTTCTGCTTGTGTCCAGTCACAAAAGTCTTTGTCAAAGTCACAACGTTTGTATAAAGAAGTTGCTGTAATAAAGGATGCAAAATGAATTATATGACATTCTAAATTGTTAAAACTTATCTGTAAAGTAATTTGAATAATATTACAAAAACTTACTGCACATTTGCAGCTTCTCATCCGAACCATCGCCACAGTTGTCAGCAAGATCGCACACTTTGTTCTTGTCAATACAAGCTTTGTTGTCGCACCAGAAGTACTTGGTGGTATCACAGGATGGCACAGGGTCTGGTAGGTGACAGTTGAAGAACTCAACATCATCCAATGCTATTATTCCCTGGTAGTTGATGTTACGTTCCTTTGAAAAGCGTAGCTGATGAAAAAAAAGTTAATTTTGTTGTGTATTTCTAAATGTTTATATAATTTACTTACTTATAAACCTCATTATTGAAGGTGACTACTGATCTCTACTGAGATCCTGAGGGCCCTCAACACAGAAGGGAAAAGCAATAAAACTCAATAGAAATTTGAGGGCACAATCTAGTTTTGACCGGGTTTAAAGGTCAAATTCTTTTGGTCATCAGACTATAGTGGTTTTCCATCAGACTATAGTGGTTTCCATATTACTTATAATTAATATTGATTTTATGTTGTTTGGAAATGATGGATATAAACACGATATTGCTCATATTTCACTTCGTTTTGAAGGTTGAAACCATGAAAATTAATTTTTTTTAATCATAATAATTGTTATTAAAACTCACTCTGTATGGATCCTTTCGTCTGCCTAAACCTACTGTCATCTGTACCCATTCACTACCGCGGCCAGTTCGTTCATAAAACAGAAGAGTCTCGTCAAAAGATTCCGGGTCAAGTATCGAGAGCTTCAAACTCCCAGTATTGGTTCCTGTGATTATGTACCAGAAACTGATTCGGCAGTCGTCTGAAGCGGACGTGTATTGTGGTCCGACGATATCAGCAACTTGGTCAAGTGATGTTTGCCCGTAAGGTGCCACGTATAAATAGTAGCCTAGGAGATAAAATGAAACCAAATCAAATTTTAAAATATGTATTACCATTTCTGTGGTATGTATTACCATTTCTGTGGTATTTATTAACATTTCTGTGGTATGTATTACCATTTCTGTGGTATTAATTGTCATTTTTAAGCTTTGTATTACAAGTTTATATCTTGTATCATTTCTATATTCTTCAAATAAGTGGCAAATTGTTTAAAAAAATAATTAAATTGATAACAAAAATTTAAGAAATTAAGTAATATATAATAATACAGGATTAGGACCGTTAATCAACTCTTATTTAAATTAGTTATAATTGACTTTACCTCTATTTCCACTTGTTGTGTGATCATTTCTGGGGGCAACACCTGGCGTGGACACTGTATCCAATCCGTTGGCTCGGTGCCAATCAAATTTATCATCAGTCTGCTCAACATAGCCACACATATCATCCTCAAAAGTACAAGACGTTGCTAAAGGTAAAAATTATTTGATTTAAAGCCTTGTTCAATGTGGTCTAATTGCTTCAGAGTGGCCAATTATTATGCCTTTTAATTAGGCGGTGGTCTTTGATATGCTCAAAATATTAGGAGAATTACACAAAGCAGTTGTCTTAAATGTTGTACGATTGTGCCCCCCCACCCACAAGCTTGGAGGTTCTATGGTCTTTTCTGCACCTCTGTAGTAACACACTAGACTAGGGCTGAAATATAGAATGAACCACTTCATGGCCCTTCAACAATGCAAGCTAGGGTATCTACTGTAAGCATGGCCGGCAGAGAACGGTCAGAGTGTGGTTCAATAACTAGAATGGAAACCGCTGTACTGAACCGCCTTCACTGTACTCAAGAAACACACTAAAAAATACTTTCCAATGCCATATAATTTTGATTAATTTTTTGGTAATACATAACAAAACTATAATGTGAACTTACGACACCCAAGTTCATCTGATCTGTCTGGGCACTGTGTCTTGAAATCACATCGCTGTTCTTTGTCAATACATGTATAGTCACGGCACTGGAACTTCAACGGATTCCGGCACACATCTGGCATTGTAGTGACTTAAATAAGAAATATATTAATTAGGAATATTTATCAAAAACATTTAAATAATATAAGTGTTACATAAAATCAGAAACTAATAGAAATGAACATTAATTATTACTTTTTGCTCTTTCAAAGTTTTACATCTGGTTTTCAATTCTTATGTACATATAATGTTGTATTGTATTTGTCATATTTTTTTGGAACAAATAAAAACTAGACAAACAAGATGACATTCCATCCAGAATAGACTAAGCAAGTCAGTAGTGATGTTGTTAGTCTACGAGTGAGGTACTTATCTGGATAAGCCAATAAACGCCTAAGTTAATCCAGGCAAGTATATTCACAAATAAACTAAAAATAATGTATTTATTATGTATACAAATACAAAATGATAGAAGCTAACTCACTGATTTTACAAATTGTTTGAAGGCAATTGGATAATTGTGGTATCTGTGAATTGTTTATATAAGACAATCATATATTGCTATGGACTTAATGACACTTTGATGGAGTACATTATTGATCTTGGTGTACAACTCACTTTTGGTAGGTACAGGTGTTGTCATAACAGGCAAATCTTCTGCCGCAGGTTCACAGTCAGGAGTGAAAGATATATCATCCAATGAAATATCCCCTTGGTATTCCGAACCTCTGACGCCTTCAATTACAAACTAAACGAAAAAAATGAGGCATTGGATTTACAATTTTTTTTTATAGCAAAAAAAAAAAATATGTGTTAAAAATTGCAGCTTTTTTCAGAGTTTTTCTGCTGTAAGGTCCATTACAGATGTTAAACAATGGAATAGTCTATTATCTTTGAGGGTTTGTGTTTTGTTGGGAGACACTTGCAATTACTGTCAGTTATTTCAGAAGTATTGTATTCACAAATTAGAGTACAATTTGACCAGGCAAAGAATGCCATTGACTGAAAATTAGCAGCAAGCCAGCATTCCCATTAATGAAATGGCAATCCCTGCAGGAATAACTATCAGCCTGGACAAGCCACCTGCTTGTCCTTATCAGGCCTAGGTCTCAGCCCTGCTTCCCACCCCCTCTCCACACACACACAAGACAGTTTTTTTAATGAAGGGAAAAACCAAATAAAGGATCAAGGTTACCATACAGTGAATACAGTATTCTATTTCATATAACTGTTTTTAATAAGGTAAGGAAAGGAAAAAGTTGGTAATCCCCAGGGCATTTATATACGAGACAAGCATTTCCATTTCTTTCTCATACTCAAAGGGTTTCTTCACAAAAAACTTAAAAATTTATTGAGGTAAGGATTCACAAAATGGACTGAACAATTTTTTTGCATTAATAATTTTAAAATGTTAATGAACACAACAAGTTATGGTAATCTTACCTGAAAGTCTTCAGTTCTGCTATTGACAACAATAGATGCAAAGTGCCAAGAATTGCCTTTATCTTCTCCCATACTCCATTCCAAATTCATTGGACCATTAACCATCGTACGGGTGTAGACATTCAAGGTGCCGATATGGTCTCCTCGCATGTGATACCAGAAGCGCAGCTGTTTAAAATTTAAAATTTTATCCACTATCATAATATGTAATTACAGAAAACAGAGTTACAGACTTTCTCTCAATATGCTCCCCACTTCCATATCTTTCCAACGTTCACTCTGTCTTCTCAGAAGCGACAAAGTTATTCATAACATAATATTCATAATGCAGGGATAGGTGCGCTAGGGTATTCAATTTTCTTTTATGCTTGAGAGGTACGTAGCAAAGAAAATTTAGGCATTTATTGGTTTATCCAGGTAAGTATTCACGAAATAGACATAATAATTATTATAAGTCAATCGTGATGTCATCATTGTAACTCCCAATGTTATTTGCCTATCCCCCACAGTCCACTAATTTTTCCATGCTTGGCTTGATTTTTTTTAGGTTCGTGTGCAAAAAAAAATTCCTTATTTTTTATCACTGCAAATATACCGCACACCATGATGAAAATAGAATTGTAATTGAAAATTACTTTCTTAAAATAAGTTTAATTAGAACACGAAGAAAGTTACTTCAAATTCAATATTAAGTATGAACAATTAAGCAATTCCTTGAATCAATGAACCCTAATAAACTAAACAAACTGAACATTTATTAGGAATGAACGAAGTACTGAGGCCTACGGCCAGGCAGGAGGCCGCCGAGGCTCCTCTTAGTAGTACTAGCCCCAGGCCGTGGCCTAGCGTAGTTATGAAATCATCCCACAATTTTTACCTGTCTTAACCGACCAAAAAGTTAATGGCAGTGACTGTATTCTCTCTCGAATGCTTAAAAAAATGTATATTTCTTTTACGAACGTGAAACATTACAAGAAAGTTCTTCTAACACAATACAAATTACAAAATAGACTAGGCTTGCCTAGTTATTCATCGTATCCATACTGTACTGCTGATGTGTAGATAACGCGTACTGTAGGGGTACAAATCAGCATACGCACAGCTAAGTGTAAATACGCACACAATATACTTATCATATCACTATAGCAACCGATTACTGCTACAACAGTTGGTTATCACAAAACTAACATTAAAAGACGGTGATTGACTTATAAAGCAATTAGTAGAGCATGCATCGTACACTAGCGGAAAATTATACTTAGGTTAGATTTAATGCATTCAGAAATTTTTTCAAGCATTAAATCTAACCTTCGTATAATAATTTTCCTATAGCGTAGCATATAGCCTATGCGGAGCTCTACTAATTGCTTAGTATTAAATATTAAGTACTTACAGAACAGTGTACTATTTTGTCAATGACATAGCTAGCTATCTTTGCTCTGTCTCCATTCAATCTTGGACTAGATGTTTCAATATAAAGGTACCAGCCTTGAAAGAAAAAAAAGCTCATTTAATTACAGTATACTGTTAATAAAAGTTATAATAATAGATGAGTTTATATACTGTGCCTTTTGCCTTTGACTTTTTTCTATGCATAATTGAAATAAATATAAAACATGAAGCTACAGCTGCAATTTTACGTAGAATGCACTTGAAGTACCTGATGATGAATCCAACGTATGATCTCTATCAGGCCCAGTAGAACTTGAACCCGTGGAGCCTTGGTGTCTTGTCCAATCAAATTCATCACTGGTAAGCTGTTCCCAATCACACATGTTAGACTCAAAATTGCATTGATGATAATCCTCTGAAATTAAAGAAAAATATTTTATTAGCATTTCTGTAAGTATTAAATACTTACTAGGGTAAACCTATATGTTTTCTTGTGAACATAATAAATAATGGTGGAATTCCATATTTCACCAGCTTAGACACCAAGAAGATTATAATTCTGCAAGCGGAATTGGAACAAGGAGCTGGCTTGATATTGAGCATTGTCAATGTCACATTGTGTAGCAGAACGGCCAATTCTTCAATTTCAATTTAAGTTTTGTTGAAGGGGAGGGAGTGGGGTAAAACTTGACATATTTTGTTAATTCAAGTATTCAACAAACTGTTCATAACTATAAAATGAGCCAGCTTTGTTAATACTACAGTAGTTAATTTTACTAATAAAATATACTAGCCACTTTAGAACCTATGACATGAACTAATGGAAATTCTTATTCATGGAGAAAAATACTTTAACGATTTTACTCACGACAGTTTTGTTCATCAGTTTCATCACAACAGTCCGGTTTGAAGTCGCATTTTGCCGAGAGGGGATAACAATGTCCACTGCTGCACTGACGTTCATCGGTCAAGCACTGACCAATCTCTGGTGGAAGCTTGTATGCACAGTTATCAAATCTTATATCATCAATTGCGAAACCATTTGATATTGAAGCTACAAGTCGATCTTCTGCATCAATGTAAATCTAAGAAAGATTAAATAATAATTATAATAATTTACAAATAATAATAATCAGAAAAATAATCTATAGATATGAATTGGAAAGAAAATAAATATATTCAATCACTCCACTATATATCCTTCCACATCATGTTGATCCCTCTAAATAATCTTTCATCTGCAGTATTCATCTATCTAATACTGAAACAATAATACTCAAACATTTATAAGGTGCCAATTCCAAATTGAATGATCAAAGGCGCGAACGTTATTACCCCTGGTCACTGGATAACGTACAATGGCAAACCAGCACAAAGTGCAACTTTCTCTGCTTCCTGGGGAGTATCCCTAGTCGTTCCCTACTTCTTTAGCGCACGAAACTAGAACATTCAATGCCACAACATCCTACTAGGTACCCATACTCCTGGGTAGAGAGAGACAAACGTAGATAAAGTGCATTGCCCAAGGACAAAAGCAACTTGCACAGCGAGAGTTTCGAACCCCTGACCTCAAGGTTGGGAGTCCCAGCCACAACCGATGCGCCAACTGCTTCTAAGCGCTTTACACATAAAAGAACTTGAAAAATGGAATGACGCCAACAAACATCCTAACTTTGAAGCTCCCATAATTGAAAGCTCGCTGGAATAGAACTCACAAGAACTCATATAATCCATATGACCCAACTGTACATCATCTATCCACACACCTATCCATGTATACATCATCCATCAATCCATCTATCTATCATCCACTAATTCATAATCATTCATCTTCATATCCTCCATCCTCATTCATCTATTCATCCATTTCCAAACATTGTTTTGCAATCAATTTTGATCCTCTGGCATAACAAACTAAAGATACTTCAATGGCATACTTGGAAATCTCTTGTACATTGATCGATCTTCACCACTTCTTTCTGCCATACATTGTAGTCTGGTAGGCCATCAGAAACCTTTGCCAGTTGCCTATCCTTGTCAGTGGTTTTTATATAGGTCTCAAGGTCGCCGTACTCAACACCGAACATGTAGTACCAGAAGCTGAACTCACACTCTAGGCCAGCCAATCGGTAGAGAGGACTGATAAGTTTGGCACGCTGATCTGGTCTTGTGGTAGTTCCATCGACATACAAGTACACCCCTTATTATAAAAAAATAAATGTATAAAATGTTTAATGAGGAACTTATTCAATTAATATTGTCTTTTTGTAAATACATACATTGTCCATCCCAGGGAATGGTATGTCCATGACAACAAACACATATACACCCTCATCATTCTTTTATCTCCATTCCTCATTTGTTAAACAGGTACCTTGCTCATATACTACCAACATTGCTGCTAATTTGTCCAATTTACCTTCCAATATAATTACTACATTGCCTGTTACTTGTTTAGGCCAACCTAAAAATTGAAGGCTATTGCCTGTTTCCTCTAACTTTGCTTCAAGTACCAGTCTGTCTATTATTTGTTACTAATTAACATTTAGTTAAAATGTATTGTACCTTTAGGACTGTTGTATGTATGGTCATTGACTGGACCGTTGAAATCTTTAGGAGGTGTACCATCTTTAATTGACCAATCGAAATCGTCACTATCTACCTGGGACCAGCCACAGAGCCCAGATTCAAAACTACAAGTAGAGGCTGCCGAAACAAGGAGGATGAAATGTTAAAACACATTTGTAAGATTTGAATGAGATATTTTTCTATCAAATAAACAATACTGATAATCATAGGTTGAGTTAATTTTTATTTCTAAAGGTTGTTAAATTGCATGGCTAACATTTTCTTATAATGTAGTAAAAAATCATCAATAGCACAAATAAAAATAATGCATAATTATAAATTATTATGATAAATGATATATAAACTGCATAATCATCATTTTCTATGTCTGTTAAAATTATCAACATCCTGCAGCAGGGCTTTCTGTACTGTGAAAAAAAGGATTTGCCAAATAGTTAATATTGAGAAAAATAGTACAGTATAAACTTACGACACTCTTCTTCATCTGATCCATCATAACAATCATGTTTGAAATCACAGAAGTCTGTGTATGGTAGACATGTGCCATTCTTACATGGTTGGTATCCAGCGGTACAGTTAGGACCACCTGAAGGTAAATATGCATATTTATAAGATGACTCTCTGCATTTTTTCCAGCTACTTAAGTGGAAATCATGCTAAGTGTTGCTGCTGGTAATCAGCGCAGGAGCAAGCAACCCCACCAGGTACCCATTTATATTCCTGGGTGGAGAGAAGCAATGCAGATAAAGTGTTGCTCAAGAACACAAGCGAAATGCACAGCGAGGGATTAAAACCCCGACCTCGAGGTTGGGAAACCAAACCGTTCCCGCTGCGCCAAACCGTTTCTACAATGATGGGCTAATAGTTTTCTCTACTTGTTTTCGCAACATCTCATCATTATATCTTTATTTAGTTCTGTGACATAAAGGCATTCTTAACTGTTAAAGGACCACAAAAAAAAAAAAAAAAAAAAAAAAAAAAAAAAAATTCAAAGTGAAATATAAATAGCATGCATTAGCCAGTTTATCAGAATAATTACGAAAATATGTCTTGGGGTTGAACCTCATTGGGTAGATATTCATTTTACCATTGAATCATTATTAAAAAGCTCTAAAAGAAATCAAAACATTATTTCTCACTTGTTGGAGTAATGGTTATTGGAAGCGTGTTTGTTGGATCCAAGCTGCAGTCGGGTGTGAATGATATGTCGTCGATAGCGATATCATCTTCAAATCGGCCAGGACCACCAACACCTTCAATCACAACCTAGTGAATTTTAAAAAAAAATACTTAACCATCAGTTACACTCTCTAAAGAATATAGTATTAGATTTTATATTATTTTTATACTTTTGTATTGATTTTTGAGCAAACAGGTCAAGAAATGGCAATAACAAACTTAATCAATGTTATACTCATGGTGACAATTCTTTTCATGAGACAAACCTACAGACAGTAAGTCTCATTAGAGGCCTAGAGAGTGTAGTTGTTGTTGGTTGTAAGAAACTCGACAGTGATTAAGTTCACTTTTGGGTTGTCTTGTCTCATATTGTCTGTGCTTGTTCTTTACTGTTTCTTTTATTGTCAATTTTAATGTTTTGAGACGAATAAAGGGAAAAAAATCCTGAAAAAATTGACAGGAATTAAATTTTAAAAAAAACCATGGAATTGGCAGGAAAGCATCTTAACTGCTTAAATGCCGCTGAAATGTTTGATCATACTTGTGTATAATCTAACAAATCATGTTGGAGCTATTAAACAAATCTATTCAATCATAATAAAGTTTGATAAAACGTTTTTATTATAGTATAGTATTCTTTGCAATTATACCTGGAATTTTGTACCCATTGTGAAATCAACTTCTGCCCTCAGCCATGCATCTCCCTGCGATCCTGTCATGCTCCACATACTGGTTGGGAAGTCTGTTTGTGACGTTCGCTTGTACACTGTCAGTCGGTTGACGTTTGATCCGTACATATGATAGTAGAAACGCATCTGAAAGTATAAAAAAAAATACATTATGTATTCTCATCAAAAATATATAATTATGCTATTGACTTTTTGACATGCTGAGATCATGTAGTTTTTATAAGCTAGCACCATGCTGAGAACTTATGTTGATTTTATTTGTTTGTGCATCTATATTTTGCCTCTAGTAACTTGCAATCCATATTCTCTCACCTTTGTAACTGTTGCCTTTTTGTGCAACCGTCTCAGGGCACTGACTGAGAGCATTACATTTTAAAGTAAATAAATTACACAAATCAGCAATGACGATTGGTTTATGCAGGTAACTATTCACAATAAAGACAGATGAAATCATCTATATATATTCATCCTCACACCCCCTCCCACACCTGAAACATTAAAATCTATATGCCTACGAGGATTATTATTTTAGAAGCACATTTAGTCAATGGTGAAAATATGATAATGATAACGACTCTATTGCTGAAAAAGAGAGAAAAAGGGCTCGATAAAAATAGTGGCGGATTCAAAATGATTGTTACTCACCAGACATGACTTCTCTGATGGTACTGGATCAAACACCTTACTACTCAGCCTAGCTTTCTCATCTGTGTTTGAAAACTCAGTTTCAAGGTACAAATATTTACCTACAAAAACAATATCATCATTCTTTACATTATTATAACTATCATAAGTAAATAAAATTTAAGCTTTATTATCCTTGCTATTAGGTTCAACTGATAATAAAGTTCAATAAGGATTCTCAGCACTTGGTAAACTATACAGTTATTAACACTATAAACAATATAAATATCAAATAGGAAATAAATATTTATAAATAAAGATCAAGGAATGTGCTTAGCAAAACAAATTGTAACTAAAATAAAAATTTAAATATCAAACATAATTTTTGATCTGAAATCTTTACTGAGTTTCTTCTTTTGTTGGTCCGTGCCTATGTTACATCTTTCGGTTTCAGAAATGGAGTTTCACTGGATTTGAACCCGAGTCCCTGAGATTAAAAACTCTGCATCTTAACCACCAATCTACTATGCCACTCCAATAACATTAATGCACTTTTGGAAATATTTGTACTGACCATATGGTGTATTGGTTGTATGGTCAACATCAGGTGCCTCTCCTTGACCGCCCACTTCACCAGATATCCAAGTCCAATCAAAGTCATCATCTGAATCTTGGCTCCAATTACACAATTCTGTTTCAAAGTCACATCTTTCTATGTATGCCGCTGGAAAATGGATTGAAATGAGCTAATGATTTATTCTTTCTGAGTTTTGGTAAGTTAATCTTACCACAGCATGCAGTGTTTGAAAAAAAAATATTACGTACACATTTCACAATGGATTTTTATTGGTCAACCTGACCAGGTACACAGCTAGTTTAACACGAAAGAAAAACCCAAGCTAAGGTGTAACAATTGTCATTTCTTTTTAATTCAAAATAATTCGTAAAATATCAACCCGAACAGCTGAATTAGTTTACCAGTTTACAATACATTATTAAAAACATCAGAAAATTTAAAAACTTTTGTGGGCCTTAATGCATCATTGTCAATAAGAGGATGGGTGATATACATACCACAACTCTGTTCATCTGATTTGTCACCACAATCATCACTATAGTCACACAGAAAACTGTTAGGCAGACAGTAGAGTCCATTGCTGCACTGGAATTCACATGGACCAACAAAATCACCCAATGAGCAACCTTCATATGTGATGTCATCAACAGCAATGATGTCAATTACATCTCCTAAGTAACCTTCAAAAGAAGTCTAAGAAAAAAGATGGAAATGTTCATTTACAAGTATCTGATTAAATAGGTTTGGGAACTATTGTGGCTATTTAAACACTTTCAGATTGTATATGTATAAGTTGTAGCAAATAAACACAAATCAATAGTGATGATGGTAGTGAGACACTTTTCCTGGAGATTGAAACTTACCATGAAATTCATATTGATTCTTCCTAGGCCTACTGAAGCCTTCTGCCACACGGTGCCTGTTTTACCAACTGGGTACCACACATAGTAAGAGTTGCTAACATCACTGGCATCCAATACCTGAATATTGAATTCAAAGTCATCCGTAGTCACCTGCAATAAAAAAAAAAAGAAGGAAAACAAATTCAAAACTACTACACAGGGCTCAAAACTCAAAACTAAAGATGAGATCATGTAATAACCCAACATTGAATATAGATGCTAATATGTGGTTCTTACCGAGTAGATATACCAGAAGGTCAGCATACAATCTTCACTACTGCCAGGTAGGACAGGTGAGCGCAGGTAAGCTGACGCCATAAATATACCATTGCCGGGAGCGACCTTCATATAGTGCCCTGTGGAACAAGATTGTCAACCAATGAATATAAAGTTTAGTGCAAAACAAAGTCTTTATGTCATGTTAATATTAAATTTAAAAATGAAATAATTTTATGCACAGCAGTGAACAAATGAAGATGCAAAATCACACTTGGATTATATGTTGATTTTAATCTAATCACAAAATAGACAAGTTTTTTTTAACACTACAAGTTACTAATGTTTCACCTACCACTAAAACTACCGGTGGTATGGTCTGTAGAGGGTGCTTCAGTGTCTCCACCTAGTTGAAACTGCCATTCGTAATATCCAGTGCTGACATCAGCGTAACCACACATTCCACTCTCAAAATCACATGGACCTGAAAATTACAAAGGCAATTTTATTGAGTAGTCTGAATAAAGATCACACATACAGAAGTGATGTTCCTAGATGTAACTTGCTAGACAGAATGGGAACTAAGTGCATTGTGGCTACTTAAGCACTTTTAAATTATATACTATGTTTACCAGTCGAACACAAATCAATGGTGAAGTTAGTAGAAAGAAACCTGGATAAACTGATATACGCTCCTCAATTGACTGCTTACAGGTATATGTATTCATCAAATAGACAATATATGTTAACTAAAGTATTAGTAACAATTAGGAGACGACTTCAGAAGAACACTAACCACACACGGCCTCATCAGATTTGTCTGAACAATCAACATTCCAATCACAGATTTGACCAGTAAAGATACATTCTCCACTTCCGCACTGCCATCGTCCGGAGCCACAAGGTCCTATCGTTGGTCCCGTAGGAACTGCCAGCGTTGTCATGATTGGTAAAGACCCTTCAAAGTTGAATAAGTGAAAATTTATTATAAAATATAAAATGAAATTTGGTATTGGTTTTTGAGTATATTATGATAATGATTGAGTATTTAATTATTCATTATTTCAATTTTTATCAAGAAGAGTATCAGGAATCATTCTGGATGATATTCTAATTAAGAACAAAATATTACATAAATTTGAAATCTCTTATTAGAGTTTTTGGAGTGCATGCTGCATTACATAAATAATATAGTAAATAGACCACTTGGTTGTTATAAACTGACTGCTTGTATATAAAATTAATTACAATAGATATACATGACATAAAAATCAAGCAAACAAGTAGCTTTCCTCCTGCAGTATAGCAACAGAGCTGCAGTTGATAGTATAAAGGAGGAAGATATACATACATCCCAAATAAAACCTACCGGACGCTCTCTGACAACCAGGAGTAAATGAAGTATCATCAATGGCTATGTCCCCATTGGGTCCATTACCTCGGATACCTTCAAATACAATCTGCAAAGAACAGGCCAAAATTGTTCAAGGCTTTAATGCTACAAAGCTTAAAAACAAATTTTGTAATATACAATAAATTAGTTTAAGCCGAAGCCCAAGGATATGCTAAACAGCGGACTAGATCGCGTTTCTATGTGACATATCCCTTTACAAGGCAAACATAGACATAAGATGCTCTACATTAACTATATATTGGGCAAATCTGCAGAGATATTGGTTAAAATACTTACCTGGTAAACCTCAAGGGCTTTTTTTGCCATTGGGGGAGTTTATTAAAAAATGCCAATAGTTAGTTTATCCAGATATCACAAAATAGATTTGTAATATTTACAAATTAGATTATTTTTCCTGCAGCATTAGACATGCAGTAAACGTTTCAGAGACCATTGTCTCTTACATTTTTTTTTCATATCAAAGGCAATAGAATATTGGAACAATCAAACCAATAAATTTTATAATTATATCAATTTAACACAATTTTAGAAGACACTGTCATTTTTTTTCATAATTCAAGTGCAGCTGAATGAAGCTCGGACAGTGAAACATAGTTAATAAGTCACTTTGATGACCTGGCATTACCTGGAAGTCATTGTTACTCCTTAGGTCAAGGTCAACTCTTTCCCAGTAGTCTCCAACATGTCCAGACCGTGACCACAGTAGGGTCACTGGTCCGTTGACGGCGTTTCGGCTATACACATTCAAGGTATCAATGTTCTCACCGTACATATGGAACCAGAAACGGAACTGAAGAAGAAAACATTTATAATTTTCATCATACCTTAATAAGTCTTTAAACATAATTCTTCATAAAAAAGAGCAGACAAGATTACCCAAACCACTACCAAGAATGGAAACTGGCTGGCGCTGTTCCCAAACTAAAATTTTGTGATGCGAGTTAATTGACCAGGAATTGCAACATTTTGATCAATTATGGTGCATCATATTTTGAATTTTCAGGCTGTGTGCCTTAATGCTGTTGAAAGCTTCCCAACACAGTTCATTTATTATCATTTCGATTATGAGCAACTTGAGGTTTTACATTAGCAGAAATTTTAAGGAAAATATTGAATGTATAATAATGCAAAATTCTCACATGGCAATTTCCAGGATTTTGTACTCTCTTGTAGATAGGACTGGCAAGTTTGGCTCTGTCACCTTTGACCCTTGGAGAGCTGGCATCGGTGTAGAGGTAAAAACCTGCAGGAAAGTGAAAAAAGCATTTTACACATGCTGTTACTATCCCATTTACCAGCAAACCCTTTAAAAGTGCATTTTGACAGGTTGGTGAACCACGTATTGCCAGATTCTTATCTCAATAATTCAATACCTCTACTTAAGAGTCTTTATCACAACAGGCATTGCTATTTGTCAATAAATTACCAGTATAGTATTTAAAAACTAGGCTGGTAAATTTTAAAAACCTGTTGTTCATAAAAGTTAGGCATTTTTATTACCTTAGTTGTAATTTAAAATAAAAATCATAATAGATATGTTTTTGAATTTCAAAAATTAATGACTTGTGTTAGAAGTTGCAACATAGTTTCTGATTTAACTGTGCTGTATTTTTATAAACTATTCACAGCTAATTAGCTTCACTGTTAATCTTGTTACAAAATTCCCTGAAGCAGTAATTAATAGAGATTAGAAGAGATCGGCAAAATCTGGTTCAAAAATTGAAAATTTGATAAATGGGGAAGTTTCATAAACTACTTAATGTCATTATTATAACATTAAATTTTTGCATTTTTCTCTAGAGGTCTGAAATTCCATATTTGCTGAGTTGAACCCTCTTTTAAAAAGTCTTGAAGGAGAACTCACCAGATGATGTTCCAACTGTGTGATCTCTGAGTGGTCCAGTGGCAAGGCCATCATCTGAAACACCCCTAGTTCTTGACCAATCAAATTCATCGGTTTTCAGTTGTGTCCAATCACAGAAACCACGCTCAAAGTTACATCTGTCATAATTGGCTAAATAAGAAATAAAATCATCTATAATTATAGTCAAAGATTTTTAAAAATGTTATACATATTCTTATCTTACCTCTTATCACTCGCTTCACATCGGGAGATTAAGGCCTCATAAATCACTTCCTTCCACTCCTTCCTGGCTACTACTGCAGCATCCTTCCAGCGGCTGTCCTCATTTATACTTATTACTACATGCAATGTTTAAGACAAATATACAAAATGAGGTGCACATAGTTAAAATTCCTGCTGAGTATATATTGAGGGCACTGGAAATAAGTTTTAACTTTCTTGTGTTATCCTCGGAATTCTGTTTTATCATGTTGTTGTATTGTATTGTACTGTATGAGTCAATCAATCATTCATTAGCATAATTTATCAAATACGTACTACAGAGACTTGAAGCCTCATCAGAATAGTCACCGCAGTCATCAGAGAAATCGCATACATGAGTCTCATCAATACAAGCCTGCCTAGTACACAGGAATTGATTGCTTGAACAAGTTCCATCACCAACGGCTGAAATAAAACACATACTAAATAATAATAATTATTATTATTTTCATTGAATTCAATGTTTTGAAATCAAAATTTTAGTTTAGTTAAAATTTAATTCAAGTTTCAATATTAATGAATTAAAATTATGCAAAATGATGCTTGATGTCACATGATTAAATGATTTTGTGAGACTATGTGGAATAAAAACCATAGTAAGTCAGGCATAGGCGACACAGATCTCTCCACGCACACACACACTCAAGTGCACCTTGATAAATATTTATAATTTTCTTTTGCCAACTCACCTGGAAGTGCACATCTAGAAAATGATATATCATCAATGGCTATATCACCTAAGGTATCAAAGCTCCTCTCAGCTTGGATCCAAACCTGTAAGGTAATGGATAAGTTCAAGTCAACACATACAAGAGCTACATAATTTTAGTGACTTTATGGCTGTATTCGACTGGTTCGTTTCGTTGACGATTTTTTTAAATCATTATTATTTTCATTCAGCTGGTTCGTAAAATAGGCTTAATTGACAACAGAAATTAACGTAAATCAGAGTGTGTTAATTTGCAATAAGTTACCCATGTGACCAAATATGGCTGATTGGTACAGCTTAGCAACAACATTTGTGTAATTATAATCTAGATTAAATTTTGGAAAAAATTAATCATATAATATTTACCAACATAAAGTTAAAAAAGAATTGTAGGCTAACAGAATACAAAAACTGTATGAAAACATTTTTTACGAAAAACCCATACTGCCACAAGCCAAAGCAACCTTGATTATGCTAGCGCGTATCGCGTAGCATTTACCAGTTTTTCATTCAGCCGTCTTTAAATAAGATATCACCACTGTGCAGACAGCCGTGTTTTAACGAAGAACGACCTGTCGAATACGGACAATAACATAAGTAGCATTCTGGTGTATTGAGTAAAAGTTCAAAATAGAACAAAATGGTTGCACCTAATAAAAGTGCAACCTCATGCCATGGTAGAGGTGTAGACTGGAAAGGGGTTAAGAACAAAACATTGTTATTAATAACTTCAATAATAAAAACCACATGTGTATAGCCCCTTGGAACATAAACCTAACATTAAAATAATTTATGAGTTATTAAAATAAATAAAAGTTTTATAACAAATATACACATATTTTCTGATATATTGAATGTATGAAACTTAATGATATGGCGTAAAATTGGTTTGTGTTATAATTGCACAAAATATCACTATCTTTATTATTTTACACGTGAAAGACTAAAAAATGTGTAAACAAAGTCTGTACACTTTACCCTGAATGTTCCTGTTATTCTTCCAAGTGGGGCAGAGGCTAGGTTCCACCTATCACCCTGATCACCGCTAATCTGCCACGGAACTAGAAGATAGTATTGTTCATCCAAGTAGACGCGTAGGGTACCGATGGGGTCGCCTTTCATGTGGTACCAGAACTGGGCTTGACAGCTGGCAGCTGAGTTGTGGTATTCTGGGGCATACAAGGAGGCGTAGGCAGAGCTTGCACCATTTCCAGCAGCTACGTACAGGTACCAGCCTGAATAATGAATTTATTGGAATCAGTAACATCAAAATTAAGAATAATCATATTGCTTTATTAATTTGTAAAATGGTACATACATTCATTTTTTTCTTGATAATGACCAAATAGATCGAAACTTTGAATCTTAAAATGTCTCTGTTTCCTTTCAGAGTTACTGTCTTTTTGTTTTAAATACATATGGTACATATTAAAGCAAAAATATCCAAAATCATATAGCAGTAATAGTCTCATGTGTTTGTATGATCAATGATTCAATAAGTGGATATCATCGAGAATGTATGTTGTATTAGAGAATGCATCATTTAGGATTTTTATCATGCACAGGTGAATTAATGAATGAATTAATGTTTTGGGTTTATCGCTCTGGTGAATTTTATCTTGTATGCCTGCCGTTTAAGCAATAAGACAAATATATTCACCTTCAAACATTTAACAAATTTAGGAAAATTTTTTAACGATTATTTATTGATAAATCATGGATTTCAGACAAATTTAAGCTGATTTTTTTTTTTTTTTTTTTTGCCGAAGCAAGTTTAACAAATCCAGCCATAGCTTATTACCTGAAGCAGTTAGCAAAGTGTGATCGTAAGCTGGGCCTGTGTTCTCTGTTGGTGTAGCACCTCTGTATCTCTGCCAGTAGAATTCACTGTCACTACTCTGACCCCAGTTGCACTGGTCCACTTCAAATGTACATATATGGCCTAGAATTTAAAAGGTTACAAATATGATAATACAGGTGGTAAGCTTTCTGCCACAACTTTGATATGATCTTACATGAAAAGAAATTGAGGATGATAACAAAGTTCTTATAACCTATACAAAGATGTATGTTCACTAAATAACAGAATATATATTATATTATATTATATATATTATATTATATTATGTTAACCACCAAAATGTAAGTCAATTAAGTTTTTTACAAAACATGATCAATGTTCAGCATGTACTTATTAAGTATATTCTTCATAAAATTACATAAATCAATCGTGATGTTGGTAGTCTATGAGTGAGATACTTTACCTGGATAAACCGACTAATCACCATTGTTCCCAAACGAAACACCCCTTCGAAATAAATGGAACAGTCTGACCCAGGGCCCCATGTACGCCATGTCTCCCTAACAAATGTCCTCATTCACTAAAGATCCAAAAGATCACGGAGAGGGTAGGAAGGGAGGGAAGGTTATCCAGGTAAGTATCTCACTCATAGACTACCAACATCACGATTGATTTGTGTAGTCTATTTCGTGAATACTTACCTGGATAAACCGACTAATTGCCAGATTAGCAGAGTAAAAAAGGAGGCTGGCGTGATCAGAAACCAGAAAACTTACCTACAGAGACGGCTTCAGGACAGCAGCCGCCACAGACGCCTGGGTCGAGTTGGGAAAATAGGCACGTGAAAGTAAGCAACCTTGAGGTCTATAATAGCGCCCCAGACCCCGGGCATGAGCCCTTGGAGGATAAGTGCGAGAGTGTCCATGCGGAATTTTTGCGGTCTGATCCATTGGTTCAGCCGCCGCAGATTTAGAATAGGGCGCCACCCGCCTGATGATTTTTCTGCCAGGAAGAGTGTGGAAACGAACCCCTTGTCTTCGGTAGTCAGGAAAACTTCGACCACGGCACCCTTCATAAAGTCTTTTACCCCTGAAAACAGGGCTTCCCTCTTCTCGGGGGAGGCTGGAATTGGCGTGCTCATCCCTCCGTACGCAACTGGAGGGGAAGTAAACTCTATCTGGTATCCACGGGAAATTGTCTGCAGGGTCCAGCTGTTTGGAGCCAGCCGTTCCCATTCGTGGGTGAAAAACATCAGCCTCCCCCCTACCGGACCGGCTCCTACTGAGGAACCGGTCACCCACCATGAATATCAGAAACGGGGCCCACCCCTCCCCCGCCGCCGTGCCCTGTCGGCTGGAGGGCCAGTCCAGGCGAATTGTGGGTTGGTGGCGGGAGCAGGAGCAGGGGAGACAGCGGCTGCAGGCTGCGGCAAAGGGAGGGGATGCGACTGAGGCTGCTGCTGAGGCTGGCGTCTCGCGTACGCCTAGCACTGGGAGCGAGCCGACCGACGATCACGCCGCAGGAACTTAGCCCTTGTCTGACGCCGCGCTTCTAACTCTCTCGCCCAGGCCTCATCCTTGGCAGCAAACTGGCCAAAGAAGGGGTCCTCTGCCCCAAAAGAGGGGCAGTTCAAAAACCGGTCAAAGTGACTGGGACTGACCGAGGTAGCCCGGAGAACATTAGCCCTCCAGGCGGCCCCGGCAGCCTGGGCAATGGCACAGAACTGGTCAGAAATAAGGCCAACACCCTCCCGAAGGAGAGCAATGGCGTCAGGGACCAGAGTTGGATTCGCGTCGGCATCAGACAAAAAGGACAGAGCAAAGCCAGCCCCATTCACGGCGCGAATGCCCTCCCGTGCCGCGCGGTCCACAAAGGACAAAGCCTCCTCGGCCGTGCCCTGTGCTTTGTTCGAAAACAAAGTCTTAGAAGCTGAAGAGAGCTTCTGGTCTTCTCGCAATCTGCCCTTGGCAGCGCGAAGAATGGGTGGTGCCTGAATGAACAGCATAAAATGGTCCTTGGGGACCGGAAAAGCGGCTGTAAGGCGCCGCTGCGCGGCAACCGGCTTAGATTTCACTTGCGAATTCAAGCGGAGATTAAGGTCCGGGTGGAGACCCACAACCGGGACAGGATGAGCGGGACGCACAGGAGCTGGCGGCCCCCACAGGCCTGCCCCCCAAACCACCCCGGTAAGGAGTCTCAAACCAGACACCTAAATGGTCAAGAATGGGTGGCATCGCCCGGGCCACGAGCTGAGAAAGATCGGGGCCGAGAATAACATCCTCAGCCTCTGAATCAGGCTCGGACAAATCGTCCATAGGCGACTCGCCACCCACCCGGACCCCTTCCCCAGGGACAGGAGGGTCGGAGACTGGGGGAATGGACAGGACAGGCAAAGCCGAAACGACCTTCATCCCGGCAAAAACCTCCCTAGCAACACGGCCCACCTGCTCTGAAATCAAGGAAACCAATGTCGGGTCCAGTGGGGCAAAAGGCGAGGGATCTGACGAGGCCGACGGACCCTCCAACGGCGTGGGAGAAGCGTCCGACGCTGCAACAACCCCCAATGCAGCTGGCAACGAACTCTGAGAATGAGGGGCAGCCTGAGCTGCCCAATCAAGAGCCGCCGCAAACTTAGTAGGGGGCCAGCGCGCGCAAACCTTGAGTGCCTATCGAGCTTGACACTCGGTTTGGAGCCCTCACACGCCGAGCACAACGACTTGTGCGCAGACATAGCGGAAGAGACTACCGAGAGCTACAAAAAAGGATATGTCATAAATCAACTTCTTGAACAAAATCCAAGGCAGAAAAATAAAATTCCAGAATCCAGCAACTTCTTGAAAATAAAATCCAAGGCAGAAAAGTAAAACACAGAATCGAAAAACTTCTTATCGCAGTATCGCGAACACGAACCGCTAACTCTATGATAGAGCACTCTGAAGGAGGTTCACTTTCCAATGAAGGTCAAAAAGGGAATGAGGACGTTTGTTAGGGAGACGGTTCGTACATGGCGCCCTGGGTCAGACTGTTCCATTTATTTCGAAGGGGTGTTCCATTTGGGAACAATGGCAATTAGTCGGTTTATCCAGGTAAGTATTGACGAAATAGACATAATGATATTATAATGGCATTGCAAATTTAGCCTACTGGGCTTCACATAGACTGATTATCTAATATAGTGACAGCCTTGCAGGCCACCTTTACGTGAGTATCTTCGATTTGAATTAACCAATCATGTGTCTGCCTAAACTTACCACAATCCACTTCATCAGCACTGTTGCCGCAGTCATTGACAAAATCACACACTTGGTAGCTTGGGATACACAACTCAGTTCCATCATTGCAAACAAAATCACAAGCAGATGGCGGATCTGAAAAAAATAAGTATCATCTAACGTTAATGCAACTACCGGTAACATAGAATAAAATTAGCTCCAAATAAAAGAAGCTCATATATAAAAAAAAAAAAAAAACAATGAAAAAACGGTGTACAATCATTGAAGAATAATGCCATGAATAATATAAATTGAAACGTAACAGAAGAGGAATCTGACAACATCATCCACTGGGACTTGAACCTGGGACCTTTTGCATGTACATGGCGAAGGTAGTAATCACTTGACCACGAAGCCACTGTATTTAAATCATATCAAGCATAGCTCATCAATGACAAGTTCTTTTATTTCAATTGCATGAATAAAATGTCGATGGCGGGATTCGAACCTGCAACCTCTCGCTGTCAAGGTGAGTATCATACCCATTAGACCACAGAGTTCTAATCCCCAGGCACTTTCTCTCATACAGCTGACTGAAACTGTAGCACACTTCATTTGATTTAAGCAAAAAAAATAATAATTTTAATCTGCCACAATGCGGTTAAAACATACATGGATAGACCTACACTTAGGCATAAATAGGTATAGTACAACTGTTAATGTGGACCCTTGTTTTCGAATTCCAAATATTAGATATTAAACTTCAGCATTTATTGCTTTATCTGAGTATTCACGAAATAGACTATTAAAGTAGAATGTTACTCAACAATAAGCAACATTAACAGTTTATCTTCATTCCAAATGAATTTGTTCAAAGGAAGGTATAGTACAAATTAGTTGGTCTTATTTATTTCATGTATTATATTTTAGTTATCCTGAGTTTACAATCCTCTTGAAAATGTAATTTCATTTCACAGCATTATATTTGTTAGATTTCCTCCTCAGAAATGTATTAAATTGGCCTTTGACCCCTGACCCTACAAGGGTACCCAGCCAACCTGCCCCATCTCCACCTCACCCTAGCTTTAGTGTGTCAATTCAAGTTATTTTCCCCCTAAAATAAAAAATGGAATCTCCACAAATAATATTAATAACAATGACTGTAAAATTTACATGAGTTGTGAAAAATAAAAATGCCATTCAACCAAACATTGTTATGATAGCACATGATACAATGTGCAATGCATTATCTTTTGAAATAATGCATACAAATTAATCAATACTGTAAAGTATCGATTAACATATTGCTGGCACGATTTTCATTACACTTACTTGATAAATTCATCCTGAAGCATTATTTTCACACTCTGAATTGCTGAAGCTTTTTAATTGTGCAGTGTTTCCTTCTGATAAGTTTTTACACTACAATTTTAGTCAATTTTTGCTTTATTTATGGCAGACTGATCACATAGGTATACCTCTATGGACAGATCTATACAGTGTTACACAGCAAACTTTATTTAAGTAAAAAAACTATGAAAATCTACATCTGGCACAATGTGATTAAAACGTACATGGATAGGCCTACATGTATTTTAAACTTTTTAAATGTATTTTTAATTATATTTCATAGGATTAGGTTATTGTGAGGTAAGGTGGTCAACGCCATCCTCATTTTTGTGACCTCGGACCAATTATTTTTAAAAATTTAATTTGCAATCGACTGCTACTACCTGCTTTGTAAAACCTGTCGAAGTTGAGTCTTGTTGCAAGTCTTTAGAGCAGGACAGGTGCAGATCCAGAATTTTCAAACTGGGGGAACCAACTTCAGAATAGGTATGTGGGGAGGGATAGCAGCAGTGGTAATAAGAAAGGGACTGGAGCCTGAGGCCCTACAGTATATTTAAACATTTTGAATTTGTATTATATTATTTTCTTAATTCAAAACATGTAATGGCAAACCAGGGAGATGCACATCATGGCCCCTGTGTCCCCTTATTGGATCCAAACCTGCAGGATGCAACTGAATTGTCTAGCTAAGGGATAGACTTGGTTTGGGCATACTTATGTAGGCCTCCAGCGCTATAGGCCTAAACAAGTGAGCAGAGTTTAATTTCTTTGCAATTGTAGTTCTTTTTATTTATTACTGATCATTGTTCATATTCTACTTCCCGAAATAGATACCCAATAAAATATGGAGGCTTTTGGAAACACTGAAAACAAGCTACCTGGTGAGGTTGTGAATGGCTACAAAATACAAACAAGTCTGGGGGAAGGTGCATTTGGTAATGTATATAAAGTAGTGAAAGAAGAAAAGACATTTGCCTTAAAGAGAATTGAAAAGAGAGCCCAAGAACTTCCTTCTGTTTTGAATGAGATCCATTCTCTCCAAAATGCTGCACATGCGAATGTTGTGGAGTACATCAACAGCTTTGCTGATGGCTCTGCTTATTACATTGTCTTAGAATACTGCGACCATGGTTCATTAGACAAATACTTACAAAAACAAAAGCGCCTGGGTAAAGAGAAGCGTATGGGATTCATTCAAGACAAAGCGAATGGAATATCACATCTTCATTATCTGGGGATCATGCATCGAGATCTGAAGCCAGCCAACATTTTGATCAACAGCCAATGTGTTGCTAAGATTGCTGATTTTGGATTGGCTAAGATTTTTAATTCAGAGGCTACTGTGGAGAAATTGTACACGAATACACTGGTTGGCACGTATGCCTACATGGCTCCAGAGGTACTAAAATTATTTAGTAAGGGTGCTAAGCCTATGCCTAAAGACCATTACAATTTCCAAGCGGATATTTTCAGTATAGGACTGATATTTTGCAGTATTTTAGACGACGACTTAAAAATACATATCGAGACTAATTTGATTGGAGAAAAGTCGAACACAGAAGACGGGTATACGTTCAAGTTACCATCCAAGATTCCAGAGTCCATGAAAAAGCTTATCAACAGAATGCTTGAGAAAGATTACCACAAAAGACCAACGGCAAGAGAGGTCAAAGAAGAGTTAAGTAGCATGTTCCAATATCAGGAAGAGTTTGCTACCCCAATGTGAGAGGCTATGGTTTTGCAGCAGTCGATAACAATGAGACAAGGATTTTGCACAAAAGTCACATATGGGGCTCATCTGGTTTAACCCGTATAGTCCAGGTATTACCTCAATGCAAAATTATGTGTGTAGTTCTATTCTTCATCCTGACAGGTTATTAGTAATTTGAATATTATTAATTTTAATGATAAAATTTAACAATATTCTTCTTAAAACCTTATTACATTAGTGGTTGGTTTATGTCACATTAGTGGTTGAATTTTGTTACATTAGCTTATATGGTTGAACTTTGTTACATTATTGGTAAACATTACATTAATGGTTGAAGTATCACCCATTATTGAAATAATTAACCACTAATGTAACAACTACTTTTTAAATTAAAATTATTAAATATGATAAGTGATAAATATAACAATATTCTACTTAACACCTTATTATATTAGTGGTTGAATGTTCTTACATTAGTGGTTAATATTACATACATAATGGTTGAAGTATCACCCATTATTGAAATAATTAACCACCTAAATGTAACAATTAATTTTATAATTAAAATTATAAATTTTTATCTAATAATTCATAACTTCATAATTTTTTTAAATTAACAAATTATATAATTATAATATAATTATACAGATTCAGGTTTTGTTACATTAGTGGTTAATTTTGGCATTAATTAGCGAGGTACAGTACCATCTAAAAAAAAACCGACCTTTGCTCTAGGATGCCTATTGAATTCTTAAACTGTTAAATTTATATTTTGTTGAACATACACTTATTATAAAGTACTACAAAATTAATTAAAATTGTTAGTGTGAATATTAGTGTTGCCAGCTGAAGTTGTAATTTAAAGCCTTTTAAATTTATTGAATCCCTGGGGTTCTGGGTCAATTGAAAGTTGGTTCAGTGTGATACTCTCAGACTATAATGTAATAGAGCATTAAAATAATACTTTTGTTTCAACTCATGTTTCAAAAGTGGTTAATTTAGCTTGTTTTTAAATTAAGTTATCTTTTATAATAAGTATTTTGCTTTTAAGAATTTTTAATAAGTTTCATTTCTCTTACTATTGTTTTGATACTTTTGATTAAGGCATGTACTCTATTAGTTTTTTCATCACTCTTATTTTGGCTTTTATATTATTATTATATTATACGTTTTAGTTTAATTAATTAATCATATTTTAGTTGACGAAAGAGGGTTGAATGTAGCCTTAAAACAGTATCCAATAATTACTCAATCCCACAGATAACTACCATTATTGCACCAAAATCCCAGTCATTAAACCTTATCTTATGGTGTTGTTTAACACAATATGACATTTGTCGCTGATATACCTACAATTAATGTCCATGTCTCAAGAATGTTGACGTACTTAGATCACCATTATTTCATTGTTGTGTAAATAGTACCTATTAAAACAATTTTTCTATAATTCATTCAGTAGTACTTATAATCTAGTTACAGACACCATGCAATATTAAAGCTTGATAGTAAAACCTGTATTGTTTCTCTTGTATTTTACTGTGTACACATCCGCCTGAAGAGTGCGGTTGGCCCTGCCAACCATACGAAACAATGTTGTAGTGGAATTAAATAATATGAAGTAATCAAGTTTTGACACAGTTGACGTGCAATAGGAACATAATTTTATTTGGCAAGAATATTTTGTCCTGTCCTCAGGATTTTCTCAACGTGAATCAATAAGATGGTAAGCAGCATGTTCCCAGCGAAATATAAGTGAATGTCACAAACAGTTGACATATTATAGGAACATAATTTTATTTGGCACAAATATTTCGTCCTGTCCTCAGGACTTTCTCAAGGTGAATAAACTATGTTCCAGAAATATGTCAACCTGACATTTTATCATTGTCATCGCCTTCACAACTATCAATGTTCAAGAGGAATCTGCGAGTGTGAATAAAAGTTACCATAAACTAAGATTCAAATTTCTTACTAGTGCCATAACTAAGTAAATGACTTGCTTATAGAGTACAACTGTCATGTCGTCACAACACCAGGTAGCACCATTTGTTGTCAACCAGACGTTGGTTACCGTTCATTACGCATGAATGACTTCATAATCTAAAGGTTTATAGGCTTTCTGGAATAGGCATTTTAAAACCTAATGATTTACCATAAAAATGTACTAAAAACACAAAAGCTCGCATTATATTAGTTACTGAGCACACATTTAATCATCAATTAAATTTTACTAAGGAAAACTAAGATACAACATCTTAATAATTATGTTAGAAATTGAGATGAATGGTTTGTCAGTGGAGAAAATGGCGTCCGGTTGAACACATTTTGTGTCGCCGATAGCAATGGAGTAGTGTCACATGGTCTTGTGACGTAACACTGTAGTACTCTATTCTTCCATGAATAAATAAAGTGAAACAAACATGAATACAGTACATATAATTACTAGAGCAGTCACTCCATAATAGAGTGCAGACCTCCATCCTGGGCCTCAATACCATACCCTGTGACAGTACCAACAATATGCAGGCAGTGGCGTAACACTGGGGCCGGTGGCCCTGTTCCTTTCTGAGACTGGGGACCCTTTTTGGTTCCCGGTTGCCAATTTCTTTGTGGGATTTGAGACTTGCTCATTTTCTAGTTTGTCAGTTTGTCATTGTATTGTAAATGTTTTTAACGACGAAATAAATGATATGACATCAGTGTCGGACTTTAAAAGAGAGGGTGCCCAGTGAGGGACAGATGCAGGGTCTACTCTATACCACCTTGGCCTCGGCAGCACCATGGTTGTGGGCTAAGGTCAGAAACCTTTTGATTATGGCACCTCTAGATGGCTGAAAATGACAGAGATTAAAAATTTGCATAGGCTTATAATTTTCTTCTTTATCTCCAATTTTTGTTTAATTCCCCTCCCCCTCCATCACTGGATATAATATGATATTCTACTGCTGAATTCAGAGACACATGCTGTAAAGCTCTTTGGGTCTGGGTGCTCGACCGGAGACCCTATGGGTAGGGGCGTGCGCGGTAGGGGCCCCTAGCTTTCGGAAGTCCTGCAGATCACGGCACAAGAGCGCATAGGCGTTACGCCACTGTATGCAGGCTGTGTATGATGGGCGAAACTGCAACATGCCCTCAAGAAAATAATGGATCGCCTGTCGTACTCAGGCAAATGTTGATTATCTTTTCCAATTCCAAATATTAAAGTAGAATATTACTCAGCAACAAGCAAAATTAACAACATTAACAGTTTATCTTCATTCCAAATGGTATAGTACAAATTGGTTGGTCTTATTTTTCCATTTATATAGTTATCCTGAGTTGGAAATCCTTGAAATGTAATTTTACAGCATTTTGTTTGTCAGATTTCCTCCTTAGAATTCTATTAAATTGGGCTTTGCCACTGGATCCCACTGGGGGTGGGGGGGGGGCAAACAGCCTCCACCCACCTTAGTGGTCAATTCAAGATATTTCTCCCCTCCCCCCTCACAAAAATATGAAATGTGAATATTTGGAGATTTCAAGGCAGTGACAGTCATAACAAAAATTAAGAAATTTCCAATTGTTTTGTGGTGGCATGTGCGCTAATTGGCCAAAAATAAAATTTTATTTTTATTTGAAATCATCATTATTGGCGGGCAGCAGGTTCGCTAAACAAGGTATAAAAAGTCTCGCCTAACACTAAGGTTGTGATTATGTGCTGTAGTTCTTGGGAGCAAATGATTGAGTTTATGTAAAGTTTTTTATATTTTTCTGAAATGAAATATCATTAACATAATTGAATGCAACCTGTCCTCCAGTCGTGGTAACTCTAGAATTTTACATGCTAAATTGTAAGGGATAAATGGGGTTATTTTGCTGTTGGATGATTTGAGACTTGCTCATTTTCTAGATGACAATGACTATAAAATATACATGAATTGTGAAACATAAAAATGCCATTCAACCAAACATTACTATGAAGGCACAGGAAACAATGTGCTATGTATTATCTTTTGAAATTGGCATACAATTAATTCAATACTGCAGAGTTTCGATTAACATACTGCAAACATATTTGCTAATTTAGCCTGAAGCTTAATTCATTTATCCCGCTCTAGATCATACAAATCAGAAGTTACTTTAAGAACACCCCTATGTCAAAAATAGAATCGTTGGATTGTCCCAGCAAGTGGCTGCGCCAATGCCCAAGCTATGTACTCATTCCTTGGTCAGATGTACTATCACTTGAATTATTAGAAGGTTTTTACTTGTGCGGTATTTGCTTAACTGGTAGGTCTTATATCGATTACACTACAATTTTAGTCAATTTTTGGTTTAGGTGACACTTTTTTATTCCTTGTTTTGCATACTTATTTTTTTTAAAGATTATTGGAGGAGGGCGGAATAAAAATAAAAATAAAGTTTTATTTTCTATTTATCAAATAGTTTTGCTAAAATCATCCAGATGGAGGACAAAATAAAAATAAATTTTATAGGTAAATGTAAAATAGGATGGTTAAATGCTTCAAATTTATATAATTTGGAAGAAATATACATATTTTACCTTTGGCGATTTCAAGGCAGCGGATGGCGGAATAAAAATAAAGAAAAACCTTAATTTTTTTCTGAAATTTCCACTTTTACGTAGCAGCGGGTGTGTTAATTGGCCAAAAATAAAATTTTATTTTTATTCGAAATTATCAATATTTGCAGTCGGCGGGTTCGCTAAACAAGGTATAAAAAAAGTCTCGCCTTAAGAATGGCAGACAGAACATGTAGGTATAGATGTACCTCCATGGACAAATCTACCAGTAATAAAGACAGGCCTATCTAATAGCCCAAGGGCTTCCTTCTGTTTTGAATGAAATCAAATCTCTCACAATCAGTGCGCATAGAAATGTTGTAAAGTACATCAGTCACTTCTATGATGACATTGCTTATAACATTGTCTTGGAATACTGTGAATATGGCTCTATAGACAATTTCTTTTAAAAAAACTGCCCGGATAAAAATAAGCATATGGGATTCATCAAAGACATAGCGAATGGTGTAGCACATCTTCATGATCTTCACATCATACATCGAGATTTGATGCCAGCCAACATTTTGATCGACAGCCAATGTGCTGCTAAGATTGCTGATTTTGGATTGGCTAAGGTTTTTAATTAAAAGGCTACTGTGGAGAAATTGTACATTGAAATTGTACATTGGCTGGCACATTTGCCTACATGGCTCCAGAGGTAATAATATTATTTACTCAGGGTGCTAAGCCCATGTCTGAAGGCCAATACAATTTCCAAGCAGACATTTTCAGTATGGGACTGATATTTTGCAGTATTTTAGATGACAACTTAAAAAGACAGGTCGAGAAAGAAATGATTGGAAAAAAGATGAACACACAAAAAGAGTACAAGTTTGAATTACCGTCAACGATTGGTTATGATAGGTTCATAATAGAGCTTATCGCCAGAATGCTTGAGAAAGATTACCACAAAAGACCAACGGCAACGAAAGTTAAATAAAAGTTAATGTAGCATGTTCCAATGTCAGGAAGAGTTTGCTTCCCCAATGTGGGAGGCTTTGGGTTTGCAACAATTAAACCATAGGATCTTGCACAGAAGACACATACAGTGTATGGGCTCATCTGGTTTAACGCACAGAGTCCAGGGAAAACTGATGGCTGGCCAAATCATCAATAAGCCTTGATCGCCTCAAAACAAAATATGTATGTAGTTCTATCCTTCATCCGATCATGTTATTTAAGAATTTTGGCTATTTCTTTTCCTTCTAAAATATAATTTGAATGAAATTATTCATTTTAAATGATAAAATATAACAATATTTTACTTAAAACTTTATTACATCATTAGTTATATTAATGGTAAATATTACATTAGCAGTTTATTATTACATTAATGGTTGAAATATCACCATTATTGAAATAATACATTGAAATTGCATAGTGGTTGATTTTTGTTACATTAGTGGTTAATGTGGTTGAAAGTTGTTACATTAGCATTTAATATTACATTAGTGGTTGATCATTACATTAATGGTTGAAGAACAATTATATCACCCATTATTGAAATAATTCACCACTAATATAATAATTAGTTTTGCAATTAAAAACATAAAATATATTAGTTGATAACATATAACAATATTCTACTTAACACCTTATTACAGTAGTTTTTGATTAATGCAAAAATTAGTTTTTTAATCAAAGTTATAAATATGATAATTAATAAAATATAAAAATATTCTACTTAACACCTTATTACATTAGTGGTAGCTTTTTGTTACATTTATGGTTGAAGTATCATCCATTATAGAAATAATTCACCACTAATATGAAATTAGTTTTAAAATTATAAAATATAATTAAAAATATAAAATAGAATAATTGACAAGATATAACAATATTCTACTTAACACCTTATTACATTAGTGGTTGATTTTTGTTACATTAGTGGTTAATATGGTTGAATTTTGTTTTAGTTTTACATTAGTGGTTGAAGTATCACCAATTATTTAAATAATTAACTACTAATGTAACAATTAATTTTATAATTAAAATTAGAAACATTTAAATTTAATAATTCATAACTTCATATTTTTTTAAATTACCAAATTATACATAATTATATATAATTATAGAGATTCAGGATTTGTTACAATAGTGGTTAATTTTGGCATTAATTAGCAAGGTACAGTATCATGTGAAAAAACCTGACCATTGCTCTATGATGCCTGTTGAATTCTTAAACTGTTCAACTTATATATTGTTGAACATACATTTCCTCACTCATTAAGTACTACAAAATTCCTTAACATTTTTAGTGTGAATGTCAGTTTTGACAGTTGTGATTTAAAGCCTTTTAAAAATAACTGAATCCCTTGGGTTCTGGGCCAATTGAAAGTTGGTTCCATGTGACACTCTCAGAGTATAATGTAATAGAGCATTAACACAATTGTTTTGTTTGAGCACATGTTTTAGAAGTGGTTAGTTTAGCTTGTAATTAATAAGTTATCTTTTAACATAAGTATTTGCTTTTAGAAATTTTAGTTTAGTTTCATTTCTCTTACTATTGTTTTGATACTTTGATTAAGGCATGTACTCTATTTTGTTTTTTCATTATTCTTTTTTTCCCTTTTATATTATTATATTATTTAATAACCATATTTTAGTTATCTACTCAGAACGTCAAGGCTGACAAAAGAGGGGTGAATGTAGCCTTAAAATTGTTCAGTTATCCAACGATTATAGATGACTACCATTATTGCACCAAAATCTGTCATTAAAGCTTATACAGTATTTCAATGGTGTTGTTTACCACAATATGACATATGTTGCTGATACCTACAATTAATGTCCATATCTGAGGAATGTTGACCAACTTTGATCAGCATTTGGTCATTGTCATGTAAATAGTACCTACAGTGTTTAAAATACTTTCCTATAATTCATTCAGTAGTAACTTTAGACTTGCCACAAGTCTCTAATTTATTGATTTTTTGTATTATTAGCAAATTTTTCCGAGAATGCCACCAGCGATCAATTTATGTTGAGAAACTTTTTGATGCGAATACCAGAAAAAGTATACTATGAAACACCATGCAAATAAGCAATATGGAATGCCATTGGTGCCAAAATCGATTTATTTTTAAACATTTTCACTGATTAAGACAAAGTTTAAGGACTGGAACCCAGTCTATAGTAACTTCTAATCTAAGTCTCAGACAAAATGCAATATTAAAGCTGACAGTAAAACCTGTATATGTTTCTCTTGCTGCCTGTGCCAAATCTATTTTGCAATCATGAGGAAGCTGACACAAGGATGATATACTGCACAGTGTGTGTGCAGCAAAGTCAAACAGTCGCATTGTTTTCAATAGCCCAGATACAGATTTGTTTTGAAATTTTTGACATTCTATGCCTATTTACTGTAATAAAAATGAGAAAATGTTACTGACCGTTTTCAAGAGGGGGAAAACGTTGAATTTTGAAGAACTTAAAAGTTATTGAAAGACACCGCAGAAGTCAGGAAAACTCATTTCCCGCCATCTAGGAATCAAAATTTTCCCGGACCCCCTTTCATTTTGTGGGTTTGGAAACATTCAGAGAAACCCCCCTCCCCCCAAAATTGAACCCAGATCCGCCCCTGTATGAAAAAGATGAACAATCTAGGCATAAATAACTATTGTACAACTTTTAATGTTGACTTATTTTTTTCAAATTCCAAATATTAATATAGAATGTTACTGAACAATATTAACAACATTAACAGTTTATCTTCATTTTAAATGAATTTGTTCAAAGAAAGATAATTAGTAAACATTGTTTGGTCTTATTTTTTTTCAATTTATATTTTAGTTATCCTGAGTTGGAAATCCTTTGGAAACGTAATTTTACAGCATTATTTTTGTCAGATGTCTTCCTCAGAAATCTAATAAACTGGGTTTTGCCCTCAGCAGAGGGCCCCAGCCACCCCCAGTCTTTGTGGGTCAATTTTTAAATTTATTTCCCACCTACAAAAAATATGGAATCTCCACCACTGATATGAATAATAATGACTATAGAATTTACATGAGTTGCAGGGTATTCTAAAACATGAAAAACAACATTCAATTTGTTATGAATACACAGGATATAATGTACTACAGTACCTTAGTATACAAATAAATCAATACTGTAGAACCCTGTAGAGTTTCGACTTACAAATTGCTGGCATGATTTTCATTACGCTTACTTGCTAAATTCAGCTTAGACTACAGAAATCAGTAGTGATGATGGTGGTAATTCTGTGATTGAGATACCTGGATAAACTGACTAATTGCAACTATTCTTTTAAGAACACCCTTATGAAAAAATAGAACCATCTGACTGTCCTAGCACATGACTGCACAATTTCCATAGCAACATTATTTGTTTGTATCGAAATAGACGAAGTGTACTATCACTAAATTGTTAGAAGCTTTTAAATTGTGCTGTATTTGCTTCAGGTAGGTCTATTCCGTTTACACTACAATTTTAGTCAATTTCTGGTTTATTTATGGCAGACAGACTACATAGGTATAGCTCGATAGACAGACCTACTAGCTGATAAAGGTCTACCTAATGGAGCACTAAGATTCAGGTGATCCAGCTGTTTCATGATGATGATAATAAATAATATAGGGATTTATACCACGCCTTCAGAGGACTGGTCGAAAATTTCTTTTGAAATAAATCAGTGTTTTATAGTCCACGTGACTTGTTGCTTCAATTCCTTGTTTCAACGCCTTTTATATAATTTCAAGAACACACATGGATTTTTGACGATATATATATATATATATATATATATATATATCGTCAAAAATACGAGTGCTTTTAAACTGCCTTGTTACAAGCTTGCTTGTTTCATAGCTAAGGCTCAATCTCAAACTTATCTGAGCTGCACTGATGAGTCCTTAAAGTACGAAACAACGTTGTTTGCAGATT